GGGAAGGAGGAAAAGAAGGGAGGAAAAGGGGAGGAAAAGGGGAGGAAAAGGGGTGAGGAAAAGGGGGAGGGAAGAAAAGGGGGCGGGGAGGAAAAGGGGGAAGGGAGGAAAAGGGGGGGAGGAGGAAAAGGGGAGGAAAAGGGGGGGGAGGAGGGAAAGGGGAGGAAAAGGGGGGAGGAAAAGGGGGGAGGAAAAGGGGGGAAGGGAGGAAAATAGGGGAAGGAAAAGGGGGGAAAGGAGGGAAAAGGGGGGGAGGAGGAAAAGGGAGGAAAAGGGGGGAGGAAAAAGGGGGAAGGAGGAAAAGGGGGAAGGGAGGAAAAGGGGGGAAGGGAGGAAAAGGGGGGAAGGAAAAGGGGGAAGGGAGAAAAAAGGGGGAAGGAAAAGGGGGGAAGGGGGGAAGGTAGGAAAAGAGGGGAAGGAGGAAAAGGGGGTGAGGAGAAAAGGGGGGGGAAAGCTAAAACAATTAATTATAATGAATTTTTTTTGGTGGGGGGTTGTGTTATCGATCAAGTGGGAGCGCAGCCATTCCGTGCCTGGCACCGAAACGCTTTCCCTGGGTTGAAAATTAACCCGGGCAAATGGAACCTGTTGGGAAATCATTTGGGAGTTTGAGCCAAGCTTGAGAAACGCGCGATCGATCGGGAATGGGGCCGAAAGCAAAACCGCTTGGGATCCCTTCTGTGCTGCTTCCAAATCTGCTGGTGGGCAGCGATGGCACGAAGGAACGCTTCTGCTGTCCATAAAAACGTGCTTGATTTTCCCCCCCAAAAATCCGACCCGTGTTCCAGGGGAGCTGGGCTGCGTGAATTGGGTCTGCGGGGCCCATAGGTGGGAGGCTGGGGGTCTGCAGGGCCCATAGGTGGGAGGCTGGGGGCGTTGGGGTCTGCAGGGCCCATAGGTGGAGGCTGGGGGGCTTGGGGTCTGTGGGCCCATAGGTGGGAGGCTGAGGGTGCTGGGGTTTGCGGGGCCCATAGGTGGGGGGCTGGGGTCTGCAGGGCCCATAGGTGGGAGGGATGGGGGTGCTGGGGGTCTGCAGGGCCCATAGGTGGGAGGCTGGGGGTGCTGGGGTCTGCGGGGCCCATAGGTGGGAGGCTGGGGTCTGTGGCACCATAGGTGGGGGGCTGGGGGTGCTGGGGTCTGCGGGGGCCCATAGGTGGGAGGCTGGGGGTCTGAGGGGCCCATAGGTGGGAGGCTGGGGGCGTTGGGGTCTGCGGGGCCCATAGGTGGGAGGCTGGGGGCACTGGGGTCTGCGGGGCCCATAGGTGGGAGGCTGGGGGCATTGGGGTCTGCAGGGCCCATAGGTGGGAGGCTGGGGGTGCTGGGGTTTTGCAGGGCCCATAGGTGGGAGGCTGGGGGCGTTGGGATCTGCAGGGCCCATAGGTGGAGGCTGGGGGTCCTGCAGGGCCCATAGGTGGGAGGCTGGGGGCACTGGGGTCTGCAGGGCCCATAGGTGGGGGGCTGGGGGGCGTTGGGATCTGCAGGGCCCATAGGTGGGGGGCTGGGGGCGCTGGGGTCTGCGGGGCCCATAGGTGGGAGGCTGGGGGTCTGCAGGGCCCATAGGTGGGAGGCTGGGGGCATTGGGTTCTGCAGGGCCAATAGGTGGGGGGCTGGGGGCGCTGGGTTGCTGGGAATGGGGGGCAATGGGGGCTTGAAGCGTGGGGAAGAGGGGGGAAAAAAGCCGAAATGGGTCGTTTCCTGGAAGAAAGAAATGCTGGAAATGGGTTAAAAACACTCAAAAGTGGCGTTTGGGGAGGAGGAGGGACTGAAAGCAGGGGGTTGCTTGTGAAAAAGCACTGAAAGCGGGTCGAAATGGCTCTAAAAAAGTGGCAGAACTTGGGGGAAAAATGAGTGAAAATGGGGGCATTTATTGGGGAAATCGTGCTGGAAAAAGGAAAAATTGCTCAAAGGGGGGCATTTATTGTGTAAAAAATGGCTGAAAATGGGGCTTTTCTTGGGGAAAAAGCTGCTGAAAATGGGTCAAAATGCTCTAAAAAAGGGCATTTCTTGGGGAAAAAATGCAGAAATCACATGAAAATGCTCCAAAGAGGGCATTTATTGGGGAAAAATGGCTGAAAATTGGGCTTTTTGTGGGGAAAACTTGCTGAAAATGGGTCAAAATGCTCTAAAAAAAAGGGCATTTCTTGGGGAAAAATGCAGGAAATCACATGAAAATGCTCTAAAGGGGGCATTTGTTGGGTAAAAATGGCTGAAAATGGGATTTTTTCTTGGGGAAATCGTGCTGGAAACAGGAAAATATGCTCAAAAGGGGGGCATTTATTGGGAAAAATGGCTGAAAATGGGGCGTTTCTTGGGGAAAAGCTGCTGAAAATGGGTCAAAATGCTCTAAAAAAGGGCATTTCTTGGGGAAAAATGCAGAAATCACATGAAAATGCTCCAAAGAGGGCATTTATTGGGGAAAATGGCTGAAAATGGGGCTTTTTGTGGGGAAAACTTGCTGAAAATGGGTCAGATGCTCAAAAGGGGAATTTCTTGGGGAAGACTTGCTGAAAATGGGGCTTTTCTTGGGGAAAAGCTGCTGAAAATGGGTCAAAATGCTCTAAAAAAGGGCATTTCTTGGGGAAAAATGCAGAGCTCACATGAAAATGCTCCAAAAGGGGGCATTTATTGGTTAAAAATGGCTGAAAATGGGGCGTTTTGTGGGGAAAAGCTGCTGGAAGTGGGTTGTTGTGAGGAAATGCTCCTCGTGGCTGGGATCTGGGGGGGAAACGAAGACTTGTCGTTCAAGCAGGAGTAGAAATGTGCTGGAAATGGGGCCAATCAGCAAGAAAATGGTAAAAACAACAACAACAACAACAAAAAGCTGGTCAGATGTGCCAGGAAATGCAGATTTGAGTTGGTCCTATGGGTCCCCACCAGCACCAGGCTCAAGAGATTCTGAGGGGACCTTGAAGACCCCAAGAGATTCAAGGAGACCTTGGAGGTCCCAAAATACTCAAGCAGACACCATGGAGACCCCAAACGATGCTCAAGGGGACTCTGATGAGCCCATGGAGACCCCAAGAATCTGAAGGAGACCCCAAGGATCCTACAGAAACCCCAAGAGGCTCAAGAGATTCTGAGGAGCCCATGAAGACCCCAGGAGATTGAAGGAGACCTTGAAGGCCCCAAGAGATTGAAGGAGATCTTGAAGACCCCAACGCGCTCAAGGAGACCCCATGGACACCACAGAGACCCCAAGATGCTCAAAGGGACCCCAGAGGACACAAAGAGACCCCAGCATGCTCAAAGAGATTCTGAGGAGCCCGTGAAGACCCCAAGAGATTGAAGGAGACCTTGAAGGCCCCAAAATACTCAAGGAGACACCATGGAGGCCTCGAACGATGCTCAAGGGGACTCTGATGAGCCCATGGGGACCCCAAGAATCTGAAGGAGACCCCAAGGATCCTACAGAAATCCCAAAAGGCTCAAGAGATTGAAGGAGCCCATGAAGACCCCAAGAGATTGAAGGAGACCTTGAAGGCCCCAAGAGATTCAGGGAGACCTTGAAGGCCCCAAAATACTCAAGGAGACACCATGGAGACCCCAAATGATGCTCAAGGGGACTCTGATGAGCCCATGGGGACCCCAAGAATCTGAAGGAGACCCCAAGGATCCTACAGAAACCCCAAGAGGCTCAAGAGATTCTGAGGAGACCTTGAAGACCCCAAGAGATTCAAGGAGATCTTGGAGGTCCCAAGGTGCTCAAGGAGACCCCATGGACACCACAGGGACCCCAAGATGCTCAAAGAGACCCCAGAGGACACAAAGAGACCCCAGGATGCTCGAAGAGATTCTGAGGAGCCCGTGAAGACCCCAAGAGATTGAAGGAGACCTTGAAGGCCTCAAGAGATTCAAGGAGACACCATGGAGGCCTCGAACGATGCTCAAGGGGACTCTGATGAGCCCATGGGGACCCCAAGAATCTGAAGGAGACCCCAAGGATCCTACAGAAATCCCACAGTTTTCAGCTTTGGGGTGCGTTGAATTGCCCACCCGGGGGCCGGGACCCCTCCGTTGGGTCTCAAAACCCCATTTTAAGGCCCCTCGCAAGCTCAAACCTGATATTTTGGGGTCCGTTCTCTCGCTTTTAGAGTCCGACCTCCCACCCAGCCTCAAGAACGGGCTTCAAAGGTCCATTTTTGGGGACAATTTCGGGCCATTTGGGGGCAGTTCCTCGCTCCAGCCTGATCTGCTTCCACCGATTTCCCCTTCTTGGGGTCACCAATCCCCTGGCCTCGCCTCGGCCCCATAACCTCCTCCTCGTTCCCTACCCCAACGCCTGCATCCCTCCCTGACGCCACCGACCCCATAACCTCCCTCCCCCCATCCCCACCCGCTTCCCTTTGGGCCCCACGGCCCACGCTGGGTCCCTTCCCCCCATCCATCGATCACCTTTGGGACCTTGGCCCCATTCCCTGCCCCGATCCCTGGATCCCGTCCCAGAAAATCCAACCCCCCCGCAGCCTCGTCCTCACCCTTTTTTATTGCTCTCTTAGGAGGCATAAATTAATTAAAGGGGGAAGGAGGGGATGCAGTGACCTCAAAGGGGGACGGGGGGGGGGTGCAGAAGGTGTGGGGTTGGTTGGGGGATGTAGGAGAGGGGGGGACGTTGAGGGGTCCTGCGGTCAGCAATACTCCGAATAATCCTCCTCCACGTAGTTGGCGGGGAACCATCCGACCTGGGGGGGGGAGGAAGGATATGGGGTGAAGCCCTGGGTGATGATGGGGCAGTGGGGAAAAGGGGTTGTGGGGGTTCTGTGGGGCCGTACCCGGCCGTAAATCTCCCCTTTCCACCATCCCGGATGGCCCTTTTTGCTGAGCACACGGATGATGTCCCCTTCCCGCAGCGTCAGCTCCGTCCGGTCGCGGGCGCAGAAATCGTAACGGGCTTTGGCCGACCCGAAATTTCGCACGGCCCCTGTGGGGTTTGGGGGGGTTAAGGATGGGTCACCCCACAGCCGACCCCACGGCCGAGTCTCCCCTTCTTCCTTCCCCCCCCCCCCCCCTCAAATCCCCATCGCTGTGACCCCACAACTCAACCCGTCCCCACTCGTCGCTCTCGGCCGTTCCTCCTTTCTGTCATCCATAAGGATGGACCCCAAAAATCCGCCCCACGGCCACCCCATGAAGGTGGGGTCCCGAAGCCCCTTCCAATCCATGGGGGATCCCATCACCACCACCCACCCCATCGTGTGGGACCCCACCACGTCCGTCCCAACAGCACGGCATCCACCCCCCCCGCAAGGAGAGACCCCCACCCCATCCGTCCCACCGCCATCCACCATGGGGGTCCTCACCACGTCCATCCCAAAACCATCACCTCCACCCCACACCCCAAATCCCACCCATCCCATCACCTCCATCCCATACCCCAAATCCTAATCAGCCCGTCACCACCTCCATCCCACCCCATACCCCAAATCCTACCCACCCACCAATACCACCTCCACCCCGTATCCCAAATCCTATCCATCCCATAAGCTTCACCCCATACCCAAATCCTACCCTATCCCACCACCACCACCTCCATCCCACCCTATACCCCAAATCCTCCACATCCCACCACCTCCATCCCACCCCACACCCCAAATCCTACCCATCCCATCACCTCCATCCCATATTATCCCAAATCCTAATCATCCCATCACCACCACCACCTCCACCCCACCCCATACCCCAAATCCCACCCATCCCACCACTTCCATCCCATCCTATAACCCAAATCCTACCCATCCCATCACCACCTCCATCCCACCCCATACCCCAAATCCTACCCACCCACCACCACAACCTCCATCCCGCCCCACACACCAAATCCCACCCATCCCACCACCTCCATCCCATATCCCAAATCCTAATCATCCCATCACCACCACCACCTCCATTCCACCCCACTCCATACCCCAAATCCTACCCATCCCACCACCTCTATCCCATCCCAATACCCCAAATCCTACCCACCTACCACCTCCATCCCACCCCACACACCAAATCCTATTCATCCCACTCCCACCACCTCCATCCCACCCCGTATCCCAAATCCTACCTATCCCATAAGCTTCACCCCATACCCAAATCCTACCCCATCCCACCACCACCACCACCACCACTTCCATCCCATCCTATAACCCAAATCCTACCCACCCCTTCACCACCTCCATCCCACCCCATACCCCAAATCCTACCCACCCACCACCACCACCTCCATCCCACCCCATATGTAAATCCCACCCATCCCACCACCTCCATCCCACCCCAGAACCCAAATCCTCCACATCCCACCACCTCCATCCCACCCCATACCCCAAATCCCACCCATCCCATCACCCCCACCCCATACCCCAAATCCTACCCATTCCACCACCTCTATCCTGCCCCCTACCCCATCCCACCCATCCCAACACCTCCATCCCACCCCATACCCCAAATCCCACCCATCCCACCACCTCCATCCCACCCCATAAGTAAATCCCACCCATCCCACCACCTCCATCCCACCCCATACACCAAATCCTACCCATCCCACCACCTCCATCCCATATCCCAAATCCTAATCATCCCATCACCACCACCACCTCCATTCCACCCCATACCTCAAATCCTACCCACCTACCACCTCCATCCCACCCCATACGTAAATCCCACCCATCCCACTACCACCACCACCTCCATCCCACCCCGTATCCCAAATCCTACCCACCCACCACCTCCATCCCACCCCATACCCAAATCCCACCCATCCCACCACCACCTCCATCCCACCCCATACCCCAAATCCTACCCAACCCACCACCTCCGTCCCACCCTGCACCCCAAATCCCACCCATCCCATCACCCCCACCCCATACTCCAAATCCTACCCATTCCACCACCTCCATCCCACCCCATACGTAAATCCCACCCATCCCACCACTTCCATCCCACCCCGTACCCCAAATCCTACCCATCCCATCACCCCCACCCCATACACCAAATCCCACCCATCCCACCACCACCTCCATCCCACCCCATACCCCAAATCCTTCCCATCCCACCCACCACCTCCATCCCACCCCATACGTAAATCCCACCCATCCCACCACTTCCATCCCACCCCGTACCCCAAATCCTTCCCATCGCACCCCACACCCCAAATCCCACCCACCCACCACCACCTCCTCTGCCCCCCATCCCACCGCCACCACCTCCTGTGGGTCCCTGCTGCCTCTGTTCCACTACCACTCATCCCGGGGGACCCCACCACGTCCATCCAAACGCCATGGAGGACCTTCCCACATCCAACCCACGATCCCCCCCCCCAATCCCTGCCCCACATCCTACCAGGGGGTCGTGGGCTGGTCCTCCTCTCGGGCTCCTTGAATGGCACCAGCAGGGCCGTGTCCAGAGCCTTGAAGCAATCCTTGAGCGAGTTGCACTGGTAGAACTCTACCAGATCCTACGGGGGATGCGACGGTGGGGTCACCACGAGCCCCCAGCCCCATCCTGCTTCCCCCAGGCGGCGGGGTTGGGGTGAGGGGACGGGGAATGGGGGTCCGACGCTCACCACCAGCCCCTTGAAGGCCTTCTTCTCGTTGAGGCGATACAGCCCTTCGCCCGTCATCACCTTGATGTGCTTCACCTCCGCACGGTACCTGGGCAGGGGGATTTGTGGGGCTGGGCACTGCCACCACCCCCCTCCGATCCCATACCCCAAACCCCATCCGTCCCAATACCACCACCACCTCCACCCCACTCTAGAACCCAAATCCCATCCATCCCATCACCTCCATCCCACCCCATACCCAAATCCCACCCACCCACCACCTCCATCCCACCCCATACCCAAATCCCACCCACCCACCACCTCCATCCCACCCCATACCCCAAATCCTACCCATCCCTCCACCTCCATCCCACCCCATACCTCAAATCCTACCCACCCACCACCTCCATCCCACCCCATACCCCAAATCCCACCCATCTCACCACCAACACCACCTCCATCCCACCCCATACCTCAAATCCTACCCATCCCACCACCTCCATCCCACCCCACACCCCAAATCCCACCATCTCACCACCTCCATCCCACCCCAGAACCCAAATCCTTCCCATTCCACCTCCATCCTACCCTGTACCCCAAATCCCACCCATCCCACCACCTCCATCCCACCCTGTACCCCAAATCCCGCCCATCCCACCACCTCCATCCCACCCCATACCCCAAATCCTACCCACACACCACTTCCATCCCATCCCATACCCCAAATCCCACCCACCTACCACCTCCTTCCCACCCCACACACCAAATCCCACCATCCCATCACCTCCATCCCACCCCATACCCAAATCCCACCCATCCCACCACCTCCATCCCACCCCAGAACCCAAATCCTACCCACCCACCACCTCCATCCCACCCCATACCCCAAATCCTACCCATCCCTCCACCTCCATCCCACCCCATACCTCAAATCCTACCCACCCACAACCTCCATCCCACCCCACACCCCAAATCCCACCCATCTCACCACCAACACCACCTCCATCCCACCCCATACCCCAAATCCTACCCACCCACCACCTCCATCCCACCCCATACCCCAAATCCTACCCACCCACCACCTCTATCCCACCCCATACCCCAAATCCTACCCATCCCTCCACCACCTCCATCCCACCCCATACCTCAAATCCCACCCATCCCACCACCTCCTTCCCACCCCACACCCCAAATCCCACCATCTCACCACCTCCATCCCACCCCAGAACCCAAATACCACCCATCCCACCTCCATCCCACCCTGTACCCCAAATCCCACCCATCCCACCACCTCCATCCCATTCCAGAACCCAAATCCCACCCATCCCACCACCTCCATCCCACTCCATACCCCAAATCCTACCCATCCCACCACCTCCATCCTGCCCCATAGCTCAAATCCTACCCATCCCTCCACCACCTCCATCCCACCCTATACTCCAAATCCCACCCATCCCACCTCCTCCATCCCACCCCACACCCCAAATCCCACCCATCCCACCACCATCCCCTCCACCCCACTGTCAGGGTCCATCCCTACCCTTCCTATCTCACCGCCGTACACCATGGAGGACCTCCCTACATCCACCCCATCGTCACCACCCGACCCCCCCCCCCCCAAATCCTGAGGGTCGTCCCCATGGGTGCCCCCGAAACCCTACTTGATGCTGATGGCAAATTCTCCCGTGTCCTTCACCCGCTGCCGCACCAGGAACGTGCCATCAGAGCGGGGGGTCAGGATCTGTTCCGCTTCCCCCCTTTCCATGGGGCCGGCGTACCTGGGGTGGGGAAGGGTGGGCTTCTGAGACCCCCAAATCAGCACCCCATTGCTGTTATGGGGTGATCTGGGGGGGGAGGGGAGGGGGCTGTATAGGATCTAGGGGGCTCTGGGGAAGGATGGGGGCAGCGGGGGAGGGTCTGTGTGCTGGGGTGACTCTGGTGAGTTGATGAGGGTTTGAGGCAATAGGGTGACCCCAAAAAAGGATGAGGTGAAAGATTCGTTGGGTCCCTGTGGCTATGGGGTGAGGATTTGGGTGAGGGGCCGGTGACTGTGGAGGCCTTAAAAGACAATTCGGGGTCTCTCGTGGGATTCGAGGGGACCCCAACACTGACCAGAGGTAGACAGAGAGATCCGGCAGCGGTGCCTGTGGGGCAGAGGGAGAGATGGGGATGAAGGGGGGCAGAGGGCGACTTCCCCAAAGCCCCCCATATCCCACAGACACCCCCATATCCCACAGACACCCCCATATCCCACAGACAACCCCATATCCCACTCCCTTATCCCACAGACAACCCCATATCCCACAGACGTCCCCATATCCCACAGACACCCCCATATCCCACCCTCATATCCCACAGACACTCCCATATCCCACTGACAACCCCATATCCCACCCTCATATCCCACAGACACTCCCATATCCCACAGACAACCCCATATCCACAGACACCCCCTTAATCCCACAGACACCCCCATATCCCACAGACACCCCCATATCCCACAGACACCCCCTTATCCCACAGACACCCCCATATCCCACAGACAACCCCATATCCCACAGACACCCCCTTATCCCACAGACACCCTCATATCCCACAGACACCCCTTTATCCCACAGACAACCCCATATCCCATATACCACCCCCTTATCCCACAGACAACCCCATATCCCACAGACAACCCCATATCCCACCTCCTTATCCCACAGACACCCCCTTATCCCACAGACACCCTCATATCCCACAGACACCCCCTTATCCCACAGACACCCCCATATCCCACAGACACCCCCATATCCCACAGACACCCCTTTATCCCACAGACAACCCCATATCCCATATACCACCCCCTTATCCCACAGACACCCCAATATCCCACAGACACCCCCATATCCCACAGACAACCCCATATCCCACAGACACCCCCATATCCCATATACCACCCCCATATCCCACAGACAACCCCATATCCCACAGACACCCCCATATCCCACAGACAACCCCATATCCCACCTCCTTATCCCACAGACAACCCCATATCCCACAGACAACCCCATATCCCACAGACACCCCCTTATCCCACAGACACCCCCATATCCCACAGACACCCCCTTATCCCACAGACGCCCCCATATCCCACAGACACCCCCTTATCCCACAGACACTCCCATATCCCACAGACATTCCCATATCCCACAGACACCCCCATATCCCACAGACACCCCCATATCCCATAGACAACCCCATATCCCATAGACAACCCCATATCCCACCTCCTTATCCCACAGACACCCCCATATCCCACAGACACCCCCATATCCCACAGACACTCCCATATCCCACAGACATTCCCATATCCCACAGACACCCCCATATCCCACAGACAAACCCATATCCCACCCCCTTATCCCACAGACACCCCCATATCCCATAGACACCCCCATATCCCACAGACAACCCCATATCCCACCTCCTTATCCCACCCCCTTATCCCACAGACACCCCATATCCCACAGACACCCCCATATCCTACCCCCTTATCCCACCCCCATATCCCACAGACACCCCCATATCCCATAGACAACCCCATATCCCACAGACACCCCCATATCCCACAGACAACCCCATATCCCACCCCCTTATCCCACAGACACCCCCATATCCCACAGACACCCCCATATCCCACAGACAACCCCATATCCCACCCCCTTATCCCACAGACACCCCCATATCCTATAGACACCCCCATATCCCACAGACACCCCTTTATCCCACAGACAACCCCATATCCCATATACCACCCCCTTATCCCACAGACAACCCCATATCCCACAGACACCCCCTTATCCCACAGACACCCCCATATCCCACAGACAACCCCATATCCCACTCCCTTATCCCACAGACAACCCCATATCCCACAGACAACCCCATATCCCACCTCCTTATCCCACAAACACCCCCTTATCCCACAGACACCCCCATATCCCACAGACAACCCCATATCCCACCTCCTTATCCCACAGACACCCCCATATCCCACAGACACCCCCATATCCCACAGACAACCCCATATCCTACAGACACCCCCATATCCCACAGACAACCCCATATCCCACCCCCATATCCCACAGACACCCCCATATCCCAAGAAACACCCAACATATGGGGCACATCCCCACCATGCCCAGCCCTTGGAGCTCCTTGGAGACGTTGTAGGGGATCTCAGGGGGTTTTGGGGTCCCTGTACTCACACAGATGAAGGGTCTGACAGCAGCACAGGGGAACCAGCCCGTCTCACCACTGACCACGTTCCTGCCCTGCGGACAAAGCCCCACGTGGGGATCCATCCTCAGTACGGCTGTAGGAACCGGGCCCCACTTTGGGGTCCGTCCTGACACAGCTGTGGGGACCCATCTGGGTCTGTCCCAGTAGTGAGGGTCCATGCCTACAATGGTTATAGGGGATCCGTCCCCACTATGGCATCCATCCTGACACAGACATGGAGACCCACCTTCATCATGGCCATAAAGGATCTGCCCCAAAAGTGAGGGTCCATCCCTACAATGGTTATAGGGGATCCATCCCCACTATGGGGACCAACCTGACGTGGCCATGGGGATCCCTACAATGGCCATCGGGGTCCTGTCCCCATTGTGGGGTCCATCCTGTCCCCCAACCTGGTGGGATCAGCCCCCATCGCCGTGATTCCACCCCCACGATGGAGATCCATCCCTACAATGGTTATAGGGGATTTGTCCCCACTATGGGGTCCATCCTGACGTGGCCATGGAGACTCACCTTCATCATGGCCACAAAGGATCTGCCCCAAAAGTGAGGGTCCATTCCTACAGTGATTATAGGGGATCTGTCCCCACTATGGGATCCAAACTCACACAGCCATGGAGACCCACCTTCATCATGGCCATAAAGGATCTGCCCCAATAGTGAAGGTCCATCCCTACAATGGTTATAGGGGATCTGTCCCCACTTTGGGGTCTGTCCTGACACAGCCGTGGAGACCCATCTGGCCATAAAGGCTCTGCCCCCATGATGGAGATCCATCCCTACAATGGTTATAGGGGATCTGTCCCCACTATGGGGTCCATCCTGACACAGACATGGAGACCCACCTTCATCATGGCCATAAAGGATCTGCCCCAAAAGTGAGGGTCCATCCCTACAGTGGTTATAGGGGATCCGTCCCCACTATGGGGTCCAACCTGACGCGGCCATGGAGACCCATCTGGCCATAAAGGATCTGCCCCAATGATGGAGATCCATCCCTACAATGGTTATAGGGGATCTGTCCCCACTATGGGGTCCAGCCTAATATGGCCATGGAGACCCACCTTCATCATGGCCATAAAGGATCTGCCCCAAAAGTGAGGGTCCATTCCTACAGTGATTATAGGGGATCTGTCTCCACTTTGGGGTCTGTCCTGACACGGCCATGGAGACCCACCTTCATCATGGCCATAAAAGCTCTGCCCCAATAATGAGTGTCCATCCCTACAATGGTTATAGGGGATTTGTCCCCATTATGGGGTCCAACCTCACACAGCCATGGAGACCCACCTTCATCATGGCCATAAAGGATCTGCCCCAATAACGAGTGTCCATCCCTACAATGGTTATAGGGGATCCGTCCCCACTATGGGGTCCATGGGGATCCCTACGATGGCCATCGGGGTCCCGTCCCCATTTTGGGGTCCATCCTGTCCCAACCTGGTGGGATCAGCCCCCATCGCCGTGATCCACCCCCACGATGGAGATCCATCCCTACAATGGTTATAGGGGATCTGTCCCCACTATGGAGTCCATCCTAATATGGCCATGGAGACTCATCTTCACCATGGCCGTAAAGGATCTGCCCCAAAAGTGAGGGTCCATCCCTACAATGGTTATAGGGGATCCGTCCCCACTATGGGATCCAAACTCACACAGACATGGAGACCCACCTTCATCATGGCCATAAAGGATCTGCCCCAATAGTGAAGGTCCATCCCTACAATGGTTATAGGGGGTCTGTCCCCACTTTGGGGTCTGTCCTGACACAGCCGTGGAGACCCATCTGGCCATAAAGGCTCTGCCCCCATGATGGAGATCCATCCCTACAATGGTTATAGGGGACCTGTCCCCACTATGGGGTCCAACCTGACGCGGCCATGGAGACCCACCTTCATCATGGCCATAAAGGATCTGCCCCAATGATGGAGATCCATCCCTACAATGGTTATAGGGGATCCGTCCCCACTATGGGGTCCATCCTAATATGGCCATGGAGACTCATCTTCATCATGGCCATAAAGGAACTGCCCCAAAAGTGAGGGTCCATCCCTACAATGGTTATAGGGGATCCGTCCCCACTATGGGGTCCATGGCGATCCCTACGATGGCCATCGGGGTCCCGTCCCCATTTTGGGGTCCATCCTTTCCCAACCTGGTGGGATCAGCCCCCATCGCCGTGATTCCACCCCCACGGAGGACCCCCCCTCCCCCCCCCCTACGCCGTCGCCCCTCTTCACCCCTCCGACCCCCCACCTGCCACCACCGCTGCTCCGCCTCCGCCACCGTTGCCTCCACGACGTCCCCAGGGCAGAGCCGTAGGGCAGGACCCACATTTCCCGGCGGCGGGGGCACCCCGCTGTAGTGCTGGTTGGCCTCCATCTTGGGCAACCCTATAAGGAACGAGAGGACGTCATACGGGGGGCTGCGAAGCCACGGACCCCCCCCCCCCCCCCAAAACCGCCTGCACCCATCGACCCGAGCCCCCCAGGCTGCGCTCACCCAGCTCCGCAGCCTTGTTCTCATGAGCCGGGCGCTGGGATTTCATCTGGGGGACCAACAGAACCCCGTTGAGATGCGAGGAGGCGACGGCAGCGCCGGCACCCCCCGAATTCGGGGCCTTTTTCACCCGTTTCGCCGTTACCTTCCTGCTGCCAGAGCTCGGATCTGAGGCGGAAGAGGAAACGGCTCGTTAGTCGGGGGGGGGGGGGGGGCAATTAACACCCACCCCCAATTAATTCCTCACCCCCAATTAATTCCTCACGCTACTTCTGTTCCTTTTGGGGCTGGCGGCCCTCCTCAGCGGATTCCACAACTCCTGGGGGCAACGCTCACCCCATAGCAGCCCAACCCCCCGCCCCACATCATCCCCCAAACCCCACAACTCATCTCACCGGCTCCGCAGGTCCCCATCCTCCCCAGACTTATGGGGGCAACGCTCACCCCATAGCACCCCAACCCCCCGCCCCACATCATCCCCCAAACCCCACAACTCATCTCACCGGCTCCCCATCCTCCCCAGACTTATGGGGGCAACGCTCACCCCATAGCACCCCAACCCCCCGCCCCACATCATCCCTCAAACCCCACAACTCATCTCACTGGCTCCCCATCCTCCCCAGACTTATGGGGGCAACGCTCACCCCATAGCAGCCTATCCCCCCGCCCCACTCCCCTCCGTTCCCCACCCCATAGCACCCCAACCCCCCGCCCCACTCCTCTCCGTTCCCCACCCCATAGCACCCCAACCCCCCGCCCCACTCCCCTCCGTTCCCCACCCCATAGCACCCCAACCCCCCGCCCCACTCCCCTCCGTTCCCCACCCCACAACTAGCACCCAACCAGCCCCGCCCCACTCCTCCTCCGTTCCCTCACCCCATAGCACCCCAACCCCCCGCCCCACTCCTCTCCGTTCCCCACCCCATAGCACCCCAACCCCCCGCCCCACATCATCCCTCAAACCCCACAACTCATCTCACCGGCTCCGCAGGTCCCATCCTCCCCAGACTTATGGGGGCAACACTCACCCCATAGCAGCCTATCTCCCGCCCCACTCCCCTCCGTTCCCCACCCCATAGCACCCCAACCCCCCACCCCACTCCCCTCCGATCCCCACCCCATAGCACCCCAACCCCCCGCCCCACTCCCCTCCGTTCCCCACCCCATAGCACCCCAACCCCCCGCCCCACTCCTCTCCGTTCCCCACCCCATAGCAGCCCAACCCCCCGCCCCACTCCCCTCCGTTCCCCACCCCATAGCAGCCCAACCCCCCGCCCCACTCCCCTCCATTCCCCACCCCATAGCACCCCAACCCCCCGCCCCACTCCCCTCCGTTCCCCACCCCATAGCACCCCAACCCCCCGCCCCACTCCCCTCCATTCCCCACCCCATAGCACCCCAACCCCCCGCCCCACTCCTCTCCGTTCCCCACCCCATAGCACCCCAACCCCCCGCCCCACTCCCCTCCATTCCCCACCCCATAGCACCCCAACCCTCCGCCCCACTCCTCTCCGTTCCCCACCCCATAGCACCCCAACCCCCCGCCCCACTCCCCTCCATTCCCCACCCCATAGCACCCCAACCCCCCGCCCCACTCCCCTCCGTTCCCCACCCCATAGCACCCCAACCCCCTGCCCCACATCATCCCCCAAACCCCACAACTCATCTCACCGGCTTCCCATCCTCCCCAGACTTATGGGGGCAACGCTCACCCCATAGCAGCCTATCCCCCGCCCCACTCCCCTCCATTCCCCACCCCATAGCAGCCAACCCTCCGCCCCACTCCCCTCCGTTCCCCACCCCATAGCACCCCAACCCCCCGCCCCACATCATCCCCCAAACCCCACAACTCATCTCACCGGCTCCCCATCCTCCCCAGACTTATGGGGGCAACGCTCACCCCATAGCAGCCTATCCCCCGCCCCACTCCTCTCCGTTCCCCACCCCATAGCACCCCAACCCCCCGCCCCACTCCTCTCCATTCCCCACCCCATAGCACCCCAACCCCCCGCCCCACTCCCCTCCGTTCCCCACCCCATAGCACCCAACCCCCCGCCCCACTCCCCTCCGTTCCCCACCCCATAGCACCCCAACCCCCCGCCCCACTCCTCTCCGTTCCCCACCCCATAGCACCCCAACCCCCCGCCCCACTCCCCTCCGTTCCCCACCCCATAGCACCCCAACCCCCCGCCCCACTCCCCTCCGTTCCCCACCCCATAGCACCCCAACCCCCCGCCCCACTCCTCTCCGTTCCCCACCCCATAGCACCCCAACCCCCCGCCCCACTCCTCTCCATTCCCCACCCCATAGCACCCCAACCCCCCGCCCCACTCCTCTCCATTCCCCACCCCATAGCACCCCAACCCCCCGCCCCACTCCCCTCCGTTCCCCACCCCATAGCACCCCAACCCCCCGCCCCACTCCCCTCCGTTCCCCACCCCATAGCACCCCAACCCCCCGCCCCACTCCTCTCCGTTCCCCACCCCATAGCACCCCAACCCCCCGCCCCACTCCTCTCCGTTCCCCACCCCATAGCACCCCAACCCCCCGCCCCACTCCCCTCCGTTCCCCACCCCATAGCACCCCAACCCCCCGCCCCACATCATCCCCCAAACCCCACAACTCATCTCACTGGCTCCGCAGGTCCCCATCCTCCCCAGACTTATGGGGGCAACGCTCACCCCATAGCACCCCAACCCCCCGCCCCACTCGCCTCCGTTCCCCACCCCATAGCACCCCAACCCCCTGCCCCACTCCCCTCCGTTCCTCACCCCATAGCACCCCAACCCCCCGCCCCACTCCCCTCCGTTCCTCACCCCATAGCACCCCAACCCCCCGCCCCACTCCCCTCCGTTCCCCACCCCATAGCACCCCAACCCCCCGCCCCACATCATCCCTCAAACCCCACAACTCATCTCACCGGCTCCCCATCCTCCCCAGACTTATGGGGGCAACACTCACCCCATAGCACCCCAACCCCCCGCCCCACTCCCCTCCGTTCCCCACCCCATAGCACCCCAACCCCCCACCCCACTCCCCTCCGATCCCCACCCCATAGCACCCCAACCCCCGCCCCACTCCCCTCCGTTCCCCACCCCATAGCAGCCCAACCCCCCGCCCCACATCATCCCCCAAACCCCACAACTCATCTCACCGGCTCCGCAGGTCCCCATCCTCCCCAGACTTATGGGGGCAACGCTCACCCCATAGCAGCCCAACCCCCCGCCCCACTCCCCTCCATTCCCCACCCCATAGCAGCCAACCCTCCGCCCCACTCCTCTCCGTTCCCCACCCCATAGCACCCCAACCCCCCGCCCCACTCCCCTCCGTTCCTCACCCCATAGCACCCCAACCCTCCACCCCACTCCCCTCCGTTCCTCACCCCATAGCACCCCAACCCCCCGCCCCACTCCCCTCCGTTCCCCACCCCATAGCACCCCAACCCCCCGCCCCACATCATCCCCCAAACCCCACAACTCATCTCACCGGCTCCGCAGGTCCCCATCCTCCCCAGACATTCCTTGTGCGCAGGAGCCCGGCACCGGTTGCAGCGATATCCCTGGTAGAACGTCCCTCTGTGGGGGAGACAGTTTGGGGTCAGCGGGGTGAAGGGGGTGGGGGGACGCGGGGGCACCGTCGGCAAATGGGGGCGACCCTCAGCTTCTGTGGGACTGAACCCATTCTTGACTTTTACCCCATCAACTTGGCCCTCACCCCAATCCTAAACTCACCAAACTCCAATCCCTGAGCCCCGTCCCCAATCTTCACCCCAAATCTTGACTTCCCCCCAAACTCCCCCCCGATCTTTAACCCCCTTCCCAACTTCACCCCAATCCTGAACCCATCCAAAGTCCACTCCAATCCTAACCCTCCCCTAATCTTCAATCCCTGACCCCACAATTTTATCCCAATCCTAAACCCCCCAAATCCACCCCAATCCTAAACCCACCCAACCTTCACCCCAATCTTTGAGCCCCCCAAATCCACTCCAATCCTAAACCCACCCAACCTTCACCCCCAAATCCACCCCAATCCTAACTGTCCCCCAATCTTCAATCCCTGACCCCCCAATTTCACCCCAATCCTTGAGCCCCCCCCAAACTCCCCTCAATCCTAAACCCACCCAACCTTCACCCCCAAATCCACCCCAATCCTGTCCCCCAGTCTTCAATCCCTGACCCCACAATTTCACCCCAATCCTAAAACCCCCAAATCCACCCCAATCCTAAACCCACCCAACCTTCACCCCCAAATCCACTCCAATCCAAACCCACCCAACCTTCACCCCAATCTTTGAGCCCCCCAAATCCACCCCAATCATAAACCCACCCAACCTTCAACCCAAATCCACCCCAATCCTAACTGTCCCCCAATCTTCAATCCCTGACCCCACAATTTCACCCCAATCCTAAACTCACCAAACTCCAATCCCTGAGCCCCGTCCCCAATCCTCACCCCAAATCTTGACTCCCCCCCAAACTCCCCCCCGATCTTTAACCCCCTTCCCAACTTCACCCCAATCCTGAACCCATCCAAAGTCCACCCCAATCCTAACCCTCCCTTAATCTTCAATCCCTGACCCCACAATTTCATCCCAATCCTAAACCCACCCAACCTTCACCCCTAAATCCACCCCAATCCTAACTGTCCTCCAATATTCAATCCCTGATCCCCCAATTTCACCCCAGTCCTTGAGCCACCCCCAAACTCCCCTCAATCCTAAACCCACCCAACCTTCACTCCAATCTTTGAGCCCCCCCCAAATCCATCCCAATCCTAAACCCCCCAAATCCACCCCAATCCTAACCCTCCCCTAATCTTCAATCCCTGAGCCCCCAATTTCACCCCAATCCTAAACCCCCCAAATCCACTCCAATCCTAAACCCATCCAACCTTCACCCCAATCTTTGAGCCCCCCAAATCCATTCCGATCCTAAACCCACCCAACCTTCACCCCCAAATCCACTCCAATCCAAACCCAACCAACCTTCACCCCAAATCTTTGAGCCCCCCCAAATCCACCCCAATCCTAACTGTCCCCCAATCTTCACTCCCTGACCCCCCAATTTCACCCCAATCCTAAACCCCCCAAACTCCACCCCAATCCTAAACCCACCCAACCTTCACCCCCAAATCCACTCCAATCCTGTCCCCCAGTCTTCAATCCCTGACCCCCCAATTTCACCCCAATCCTAAACCCCCCAAATCCACCCCAATCCAAACCCACCCAACGTTCACCCCAAACTTTGAGCCCCCCAAATCCACCCCAATCCAAACCCACCCAACCTTCACCCCTAAATCCACCCCAATCCCAACTGTCCTCCAGTCTTCAATCCCTGACCCCACAATTCCACCCCAATCCTAAACTCACCAAACTCCAATCCCTGAGCCCCGTCCCCAAACTTCACCCCAAATCTTGACTCCCCCCCAAACTCCCCCCCGATCTTTAACCCCCTTCCCACCTTCACCCCAATCCTGAACCCATCCAAAGTCCACCCCAATCCTAACCCTCCCCTAATCTTCAATCCCTGACCCCACAATTTCACCCCAATCTTTGAGCCCCCCAAATCCATTCCGATCCTAAACCCACCCAACCTTCACCCCCAAATCCACCCCAATCCTAACTGTCCCCCAGTCTTCAATCCCTGACCCCACAATTTCACCCCAATCCTAAACCCACCCAAATCCACCCCAATCTTCGAGCCCCCCTAAATCCACCCCAATCCTAACCCTCCCCCAGTCTTCAATCCCTGACCCCACAATTTCACCCCAATCCTAAACCCCCCAAATCCACCCCAATCCAAACCCACCCAACCTTCACCCCAAACTTTGAGCCCCCCAAATCCACCCCAATCCAAACCCACCCAACCTTCACCCCAATCTTTGAGCCCCCCAAATCCACCCCAATCCTAAACCCACCCAACCTTCACCCCAACCTTTGAGCCCCTCCAAATCCACCCCAATCCTAAACCCACCCAACCTTCACCCCCAAATCCACTCCAATCCAAACCCACCCAACCTTCACCCCAATCTTTGAGCCCCTCCAAATCCACCCCAATCCTAACTGTCCCCCAATCTTCAATCCCTGACCCCCCAATTTCACCCCAATCCTTGAGCCCCCCCCAAACTCCACCCCAATCCTAAACCCACCCAACCTTCACCCCCAAATCCACCCCAATCCTGTCCCCTAATCTTCAATCCCTGACCCCCCAATTCCACCCCAATCCTAAACCCACCCAACCTTCACCCCCAAATCCACTCCAATCCAAACTCACCCAACCTTCACCCCAATCTTCGAGCCCCCCTAAATCCACCCCAATCCTGTCCCCCAATCTTCAATCCCTGACCCCCCAATTTCACCCCAATCCTTGAGCCCCCCCCAAACTCCCCCCAATCCTAAACCCACCCAACCTTCACCCAATCCTTGACCCACCCAGACCCCAAACTACCCCAATCCTTGACCCCTGACGACCTCACCCCCCACGTCTGGCACCTTCCCCTTCCCCCGACCCCCCCCCCAAGCCCCCTCCCCCCCCCCCCCCCCCCGCTGCCCCCCTACCTCAGCAACATCTGGCAGGCCCTACAGGACGTGGTGTCCTCAAAGGAGAACATCTGGAAGTCGTGTCCATCCGCCAGGGCGTGCTCTGGGAAGATGTTGGACCTGGCCAAGGATGAGGGGGGGGGTCCTGAGGGGGGCAACTCGACCCCCATAGGGACACCCAACCCCTCAGTGGGGGCGCATCCCATCCGGTCCCAATGTTGTGGGGTCAACCTACAGGGCCATCTCGAACTGCTCCAGCCACTTCTTCTTCAGCTCGCGTGTCTTGAAGAAGAGCTCGTAGCCCTGCAGCCCGGCCGTGTTGATGAGCAGGAAGGTGTGGGACCACTGTGGGTAAAGGGGGGGGTCAGCAGGGACCAGGCGTGGGGGGTGGCCACTGAGTTTCAATGGGGACACCATGAGTTGGGCAGCTGGTGACACCGGACTTCCATGGGGCCACCAGGAACGGGGAGATTGGGGCCATCAGATCGGGACGTTTGGGGCCACCGAGGGCCATGACAGCTTGGGGCCACCAAATCTGGGCATTTGTGGTCACCAAATCTGGACGTTTGGGGCCACCAAGGACCCCAACACTTGGGGCCACCAAATCTGGGCATTTGAGGCCACCAAGGACCATGACGCTTGGGCCACCAAATCTGGACATTTGGGGCCACCAAGGACCCCGACACTTGGGGCCACCAAATCTGGGCATTTGAGGCCACCAAGGACCCCGGCACTTGGGGCCACAAAATCTGGGCATTTGGGGCCACCAAGGACCCCAACACTTGGGGCCACCAAATCTGGACATTTGGGGCCACCAAGGACCCCGACACTTGGGGCCACCAAATCTGGACATTTGGGGCCACCAAGGACCCCGACACTTGGGGCCACCAAATCTGGACATTTGGGGCCACCAAGGACTCCGACACTTGGGCCACCAAATCTGGGCATTTGAGGCCACCAAGGACCCCGACACTTGGGGCCACCAAATCTGGGCATTTGAGGCCACCAAGGACCCCGACACTTGGGGCCACAAAATCTGGGCATTTGGGGCCACCAAGGACCCCAACACTTGGGGCCACCAAATCTGGACATTTGGGGCCACCAAGGACCCCAACACTTGGGGCCACCAAATCTGGGCATTTGGGGCCACCAAGGACCCCGACACTTGGGGCCACCAAATCTGGGCATTTGGGGCCACCAAGGACCCCAACACTTGGGGCCACCAAATCTGGACATTTGGGGCCACCAAGGACCCCAACACTTGGGGCCACCAAATCTGGACGTTTGGGGCCACCAAGGACTCCGACGCTTGGGCCACCAAATCTGGGCATTTGGGGCCACCAGTCCCCAGTGGGGCCACCAAGGAGCTGTGGGATTGAAGTCACCAGATCTGAACATTTGTGGCCACCTGACTCCAATGGGGCCACCAAGGAATCTGGGTGCTTGGGGCCACCAAATCTGAACACTTGGGGCCACCAGACTTCAATGGGGCCACCAAGGATCTGGGTGCTTGGGGACACCAGATCTGGACATTTGGGGCCACCAAGGACCTGACACTTGGGGCCACCAAATCTGGACCCTTGGGGCCACCAGACTTCAATGGGGCCACCAAGGAATCTGGGTGCTTGGGGACACCAGATCTGGACACTTGGGGCCACCAAATCTGGACCCTTGGGGCCACCAGACTTCAATGGGGCCACCAAGGATCTGGGTGCTTGGGGACACCAGATCTGGACACTTGGGTCCACCAAATCTGGACAATTGGAGCCACCTGACTCCAATGGGGCCACCAAGGAGCTGGGTGCTTGGGGCCACCAGATCTGGACATTTGGGGCCACCAAGGACCCCAGCACTTGGGGCCACAAAATATGGACACTTGGGGCCACCAGACTTCAATGGGGCCACCAAGGATCTGGGTGCTTGGGGACACCAGATCTGGACACTTGGGGCCACCAAATCTGGACATTTGGGGCCACCAGTCCCCAGTGGGGCCACCAAGGAGCTGGGTGCTTGGGGCCACCAAATCTGGACACTTGGGGCCACCAGATTTTAATGAAGCCACCAAAAGCTGGGTGCTTGGGGCCACCAGATCTGGACATTCGTGGCCACCAGACTTCAATGGGGCCACCAAGGAATCTGGGTGCTTGGGGACACCAGATCTGGACATTTGGGGCCACCAAATCTGGACATTTGGGGCCACCAAGGACCTGACACTTGGGGCCACTAAATATGGACGCTTATGGCCACCAATCCTGGCCACCACCTGGCTCTCACGGTACCTTCTTGCCATCCCTGGGCCCGAGGCCACTGTCCCTCAGTTGGTGGCTCTGTAGGTCCACGACATCCTTGGCCTCGTAAGCGTCCCCACGGCGCTTGCAGATGATCAGGGCCTTGTCCAGGAGGAACCCATACCTGGGGACAGTGACACTGATGGGTCCCCGAGGGCCACCCCACACCCCAGAGCATCCCTGGGATGTCCCTGTTGGTGTCCCTGTTGGTGTCCCCATGTCCCCATGGTGTTGTCACCATGTCCTTTATGGTGTCCCTATTGGTGTCCCCATGTCCACAAGGTGTTGTCACCAAGTCCTTTATGGTGTCCCTGTTGGTGTCCCCATGTCCCTATGATGTCTTCACCATGTCCTTTATGATGTCCCTATTGGTGTCCCCTTGTCCCCAAGGTGTCGTCACCATGTCCTTTATGGTATCCCCATGGGTGTCCCCATGTCCCCATGGTGTCATCACCATGTCCTTTATGGTGCCCCTGTTGGTGTCCCCGTGTCCCCTTGGTGTTGTCACCATGTCCTTTATGGTGCCCCTGTTGGTGTCCCCATGTCCCTGTTGGTGTCATCACCATGTCCTTTATGGTGCCCCTGTTGGTGTCCCCGTGTCCCCTTGGTGTTGTCACCATGTCCTTTATGGTGTCCCTGTTGGTGTCCCCATGTCCCTAAGGTGTTGTCACCATGTCCTTTATGGTGTCCCTGTTGGTGTCCCCGTGTCCCCTTGGTGTTGTCACCATGTCCTTTATGGTGTCCCTGTTGGTGTCCCCTTGTCCCCATGGTGTTGTCACCATGTCCTTTATGGTGTCCCTATTGGTGTCCCCATGTCCACAAGGTGTTGTCACCAAGTCCTTTATGGTGTCCCTGTTGGTGCCCCCATGACCCCATGGTGTCATCACCATGTCCTTTATGGTGTCCCTGTTGGTGTCCCCTTGACCCCATGGTGTCGTCACCACGTCCTTTATGGTGACCCTGTTGGTGTCCCTGTTATTGTCCCCGTGTCCCCGGGGTCCTTCCATGATGCTCTTTCTGCTGTCCCCATGGGTGTCCCCGTGTCCCTGAGGCGTTTCCCTCATGTTCCTCCTGGTGTCCCCATATCCCTGTGCTGCTCCCCCACTGATGTCCCCATGGATGTCCTCCTGTCCCCACGGTGTTCCCACTCACTGATGTCCCCACGTCTGTCCCCACATCCCCATGATGCTCAAGGACATTCCCACTGCTGTCCCCACGAATTTCCCCATCCCCCCCCCCCCATGGCATTCCCACCGCCGTCCCCACATCCCCGAGGTGTCCCCGCGTTGTTCCTATCAGTGTCCCCATGTCCCCTCGCTGTCCCCCTGTCCCACCTGTCCGCCTTGGAGCGCTTCTCACTGCTGCACACCTTCAGCTCCCCGTCGATTTTTGGCCGCCCGAACTGCGCCAAGGACTGGGGCTGCGGTGGACATCAATGGGGTGAATTGGGGGGGGGGGGGGGGGGGTGACATAATAGGGGTCCCCAGGATTTGGGGGGGGGGGGGAGGGGGACACGCTGTGGGCACCCAGAGTGATGAGGGAGGTCTGGGAGGTGTCAGGAGGTGTCATAATGAGAGGGGGGCTTTTTTTATTTAGGGGGGGGGAGTTGATTAATTGGTGTGGAGGGTTGTTTTATGGGAGGGGGGGGGGTTGTTTTAATGGGGGTCGGGGGTCTCACCATGTTGTGGAGGCAGAGCTGGATGCTGGTGAGCTGCTTTAGGGTCTCGTTGTCCCTTTTGACCTCGTTGACGCACTGCGCCAGGTCCTGGGGAGGAACGGGGGGGGGGGGGAGGACAGCAGTCATGCAGCCCCCACCCCCATGGATCCCAAAGATTTTCTCAGCAGACCCCCAAAGACCCTCCAACCCCCTGCCCTGTGACACTCTCACAGCCCCCATAACCTTTAGGGTGCCCCAAGACCCCCCCACAGCCCCCATTCGACCCCCATTCACCCCTTCCCTCCCCCCAGACCCCCTCCAAGACCCCCCCCCCCCCCCCCGTATCTTCATAGGAGCTCCCCAAGACCCCTCCAAAGCCCCTCCGGACCCCTCAGCATCCCATCAGGATGCATTCAAGACCCCCCCCCCCCCCCCCCCAAGACCCCATGAGACCCCCCTCCCAGACGAGTTGCCCTCAGGATCCCTCAAGACCCCCCAGAACTCTCCCAGATCCCTCAGGACCCCTCAAGACCCCCCCCCCCAGAATTCCCCCAGATCCCCTCAGAACCCTCCTGAGCCCTCCCCCCCCCCCCCTCCGACCCCCCACGATGTCCCAGATGCCTCAGGACCCCACAACGACCCCCCCCCCTTTGTCCCCAAAGACCCCCTCTTGGCTTCCAGGACCCCCTTCTTTGCTTTTGCCCAGGACCCCCCCCCTCTCCCCACGACCCCACACCCTCATGGCATCCAGCGCCGCCCGCAGCCTCTCCCTCTCCGATGGATCTGGGGTCAGCTTCACCAGCTCCTGTGGGGAGGGGGGTGGGGACCACAGGTTGGAGGGGGGGGCTCTTCTGTCCCCAGGGGACCCAGGTGACCCCAAGAGATCCAGGTGTCCCCCACCCCAAAAGGACCCATGTGTCCCCAGAGGGGCCCAGGTGTCCCCTTCCATCTCCAAAGGACCCAGGTGTCCTCTCCACCCCTGAAAGGACTCAGGTGACCACAAAGGACCCAGATGTCCCCAAGGACCTCGGTGTCCCCCACCCCAAAAGGACCCAGGTGACCCCAAGAGATCCAGGTGTCCCCCACCCCAAAGGACCCACGTGTTCCTTTCTGTCCCCAGGGAACCCAGATGTCTCCTACACCCCTGAAAGGACCCAGGTGTCCCCCACCCCAAAAGGACCCAGGTGTCCCCTTCTGTCCCTATGGAACCCCCATGTCCCCTACACTCCTGAAAGGACCCAGGTGTCCCCAGAGGGGCCCAGGTGTCCCCTTCCATCTCCAAAGGACCCAGGTGTCCTCTCCACCCCTGAAAGGACCCAGGTGACCCTAAAGGACCCAGGTGTTCCCAAAAGACTTGGGTGTCCCCCACCCCAAAAGGACCCAGGTGACCCCAAGAGATCCAGGTGTCCCCCACCCCAAAGGACCCACGTGTTCCTTTCTGTCCCCAGGGAACCCAGATGTCCCCTACACCCCTGAAAGGACCCAGGTGTCACCCACCCCAAAAGCACCCAGGTGTCCCCAGAGGGGCCCAGGTGTCCCCTTCCATCTCCAAAGGACCCAGGTGTCCTCTCCACCCCTGAAAGGACCCAGGTGACCACAAAGGACCCAGATGTCCCCAAGGACCTGGGTGTCCCCCACCCCAAAAGGACCCAGGTGTCCCCTTCTGTCCCTATGGAACCCAGATGTCCCCTACACTCCTAAGCGGACCAGGTGCCCCCCACCCCAAAGAACCCAGGTGCCCCCAAAAGACCTGGGTGTCCCCCACCCCAAAAGGACCCAGGTGACCCCTGAAGGGATCCAGGCATCTCCCACCCCAAAGGACCCACGTGTTCCTTTCTGTCCCCAGGGAACCCAGATGTCTCCTACACCCCTGAAAGGACCCAGGTGTCCCCCACCCCAAAGAACCCAGGTGCCCCCAAAAGACCTGGGTGTCCCCCACCCCAAAAAGACCCAGGTGTCCCCAGTGAGGCCCAGGTGTCCCTGGGATAACCCAGGTGTCCCCCGACGGACCCCTCCCCTTTATTTCCCCCCCCCGACCTGCAGCAGGAGGTGGTACTTCAGCACCCGCTGCATCGGCACCATCAGGAGATCCCGCAGGGAGAAGCGGCCATTGTTGGCTCTCTGGGAACATTCCTGGGGGGGTCACGGGGTCACGGGGGGTCACGGGGTCAGGAAGGGGTCGTGGGGTCAAGGAGGGGTCAGAAGGGTCAGGGGGATGCAGGGGGTTGTGGGGGTCATGGGGTGTCGGGGGGATGTGGGGCGATTTGGGGGGTCATGGGGGTCATAGTGTCATGGGGGTCAAGGGGGGTCATGAGGGGTCACAGGAGGTCACGGGGTCAGGAAGGGGTCATGGGGTCATGGGGGGGTCAGAAGGGTCAGGGGGATGTGGGGAGATGTGGGGTGCAGGGGTTGTGGGGTGATTTTGGGGGGTCATGGGGGTCACGGGGGGTCATGAGGGGTCACAGGGGGTCACGAGGTCAGGAAGGGGTCGTGGGGTCAAGGGGGGGGTTAGAAGGGTCAGGGGGATGCGGGGGGTTGTGGGGGTCATGTGTGCTCCCAGTGCTCCCAGTATCACCTCCCATTGCTCCCAGTATCACCTCCCATTACTCCCAGTGCTCCCAGTGCTCCCAGTGCTCCCAGTGCTCCCAGTAGCCCTTCCCAGTGCTTCCAGTATCACCTTCCAGTGCTCCCAGTGCTCCCAGTAACACTTCCCATTGCTCCCATTGCTCCCAGTGCTCCCAGTTCACCTTGCTGCACAGCTCCCAGTGCTCCCAGTGCTCCCAGTGCTGCCAGTGCTCCCAGTGCTCCCAGTATCACCTCCCATTGCTCCCAGTATCACCTCCCATTACTCCCAGTGCTCCCAGTGCTGCCAGTGCTCCCAGTGTTCCCAGTATCACCTCCCAGTGCTCCCAGTGCTCCCATTGATCCCAGTGCTCCCAGTGCTTCCAATATCACCTCCCAGTGCTCCCAGTAACACCTCCCAGTGCTCCCAGTAACATCTCCAAGTGCTCCCAGTATCACCTCCCAGTGCTCCCAGTATCACCTCCCACTACTCCCAGTGCTTCCATTGCTCCCAGTAACACCTCCCATTACTCCCAGTGCTCCCAGTGCTCCCATTACTCCCAGTATCACCTCCCAGTGCTCCCAGTGCTCCCAGTATCACCTCCCAGTGCTCCCATTGCTCCCAGTGCTCCCATTGCTCCCAGTATCACCTCCCAGTGCTCCCAGTGCTCCCAGTATCACCTCCCAGTGCTCCCAGTAACACCTCCCATTACTCCCAGTGCTCCCAGTGCTCCCAGTGCTCCCAATATCACCTCCCATTGCTCCCATTGCTCCCAGTATCACCTCCCATTGCTCCCAGTATCACCTCCCATTGCTCCCAGTGCTCCCAGTATCACCTCCCATTGCTCCCAGTATCACCTCCCAGTGCTCCCAGTGCTCCCATTGCTCCCAGTATCACCTCCCATTGCTCCCAGTATCACCTCCCAGTGCTCCCATTGCTCCCAGTATCACCTCCCATTGCTCCCAGTATCACCTCCCAGTGCTCCCATTGCTCCCAGTATCACCTGCAGCTTCATGCGGATGTCGGTTCCGGCCGACAGCTGATCCAACCTCCGCGCTGCCGCCTCCACCTGACTGCAGTAGCGGCCGTACAGCAGGAACCTGCGGGGCCAAAAGTGCCCAAATCGGCCCAAAATGACCCAAAATGGCACCGAACCCCACAGGTGGAATCAAAAACGGGTGGATTTGGACCCAAAACCGAACCCCAAATGGGCCGAAAAGGACCCAAAATCAGCCCGTGAAATCAGATCCCAAACGGGCAGAAATGGACCCAAAAAAGACCCCGAATCAGACCAAAAATGGGTAAAAACGATCAGAAATTGACCCCAAATCAAACCAAAAATGGACAGAAACGCGCTCAAAATTGAAACGAAATCAGGCCTGAAACCAGACCCAAAATGGGCAGAAATTAACTCGAAACTGACCCAAAATCGGACCTGAAATCTGGTCCTAAATGGGGAGAAATTGACCCCAAATGGACCCAAAATCGGGCCTGAAACCAGACCCAAAATGGGCAGAAATGACCCCAAAATCAGACCCCAAATCCGACTGAATCAGTGCTCAAAACTGAAACGAAATCAGGCCTGAAACCAGACCCAAAATGGGCAGAAATGGACCCAAAATAGGTGAGGTCAGAGCCCAGAGGACCCCCCCCAAATGAATCCCCCCCCCCCCCACACCACCACTGCACCCACCTGCCCCCTACCCAGGGACCCCCGACCCCCCAGGACGCCCCCCAGTGCTCCCCAGGACCCCCCCTCTGTGCCCCCCCAGTACCCCCTGCTACCCTTCAAGACCCCCCCCCCCCAGTGTCCTCCACTGCCCTCCAAGACCCCCCCAGAACCCCCCCAACCCCCTCTGAACCCCCCCTATTGCCCCCCGGACCCCCCTCTCGATCCAGTGCCCCCCAGGACCCCCTCCCCTCTGTGGCCCCCCAGTGCCCCCTGCTACCCTTCAAGGCCCCCCCCCCCCCCCCAATATCCTCCAGTGCCCTCCAAGACCCCCTCTCAGCCCCCCCCCCAACCCCCTCAGAACCCCTCCTATTGCCCCCCAACTCCTCCCCTCGATCCAGTGCCCCCCAGGACCCCCCCAGTTACCCCCAGGACCCCCCCCAAGTGCCCCCTGCCACCCCTCAAGACCCCTCCTCAGTATCCACCAGTGCCCTCTACCATCTCCCAGTGGCCCCCTGGATCCCCCCCTTCCCAGTGCCCACCAGAGCCCCCCAGGACCCCCCCAGTGCCCCCCCAGCGGCTCTCAGTGCTCCCCAGCACCCCCTCTCAGGACCCCCACCCCTCATTCCCCCACAGTTTCCCCTCCAGTGCCCCCCAGGACCCCTCAGGACCCCCCCCAGTGTCCTCCAGTGCCCTCCAAGACCCCCCCAGAACCCCCCAACCCCCTCTGAACCCCCCCTACTGCCCCCTGAATCCCCCCTCAGCCCAGTGCCTCCCAGGACCCCCCCAGTGCCCCCTGCTACCCTTCAAGACCCCCCCACCCCAGTGTCCTCCAGTGCCCTCCAAGACCCCCTCTCAGCCCCCCCCCGAACCCCCTCAGAACCCCCTATTGCCCCCCAACCCCCCCCTCGATCCAGTGCCCCCCAGGACCCCCCCCCCTCAGTGCCCCCCCCAGTGCCCCCTGCTACCCCTCAAGACCCCCCCCCAGTATCCACCAGTGCCCTCTACCATCCCCCACTGCCCCCTGGATCCCCCCCTTCCCAGTGCCCACCGGAGCCCCCCAGGACCCCCCCAGTGCCCCCCCAGCGGCTCTCAGTGCTCCCCAGCACCCCCTCTCAGGACCCCCACCCCTCATTCCCCCACAGTTTCCCCCCCAGTGCCCCCCAGGACCCCGTCACGACCCCCTCCAGTGCCCTCGGTACCCCTCAAGAACCCCCCCCAGTGTCCTCCAGTGCCCTCCAAGACCCCCTCTCAAAACCCCTCCCAGCCCCTCAGAACCCCCCCTACTGCCCCCCGAATCCCCCCTCAGCCCAGCGCCCCCCAGAACACCCCCCACTGCCCCCCCAGTATCCACCAGTTCCCTCTACCATCTCCCAGTGCCCCCCTGGATGCCCCCCCCCCAGTGTCCACCGGAGCCCCCCAGGACCCCCCAGTGCCCCCCAGCGGCTCTCAGTGCTCCCCAGCACCCCCTCTCTGCCCTCCCCCTCATTCCCCCACTGCACCCCAGGACCCCCCCCCCCAAGTGCCCTCTCAGTGCCCCCTCAGGACCCCCCCCCAGTGTCCTCCACTGCCCTCCAAGACCCCCTCTCACAACCCCCCCCCCCCCAAGAACCCTCCCCCCACCATTGACCCCAGAAACCCCCCCCCTCAGCCCAGTGCCCCCCAGACCCCCCCCCCAGTGCCCCTCATGACCCCCCCCCCCCCCCATCCCTCACCTCTCCTTGTAGGCCAGGAAGAGGGGGGGCAGCCCTCGCCCCCCCCCGGACCCCCCCAAAGCCCCCCGCAGTTCTCCCAGGAAGAGGCGGTGCAGCTGCAGCAGCTCCTGGGGGGGGGGGGGGGGGGGGTGAGGGTGGGGGGTGGGATGTGGGGGGGGGGGGTCGGAGCCAAAATGGGCCCCCCCACCCCCAAAGAATCCATTTGAGTTCCCCCCCCCCACTTTAGGATTCCAATGCTGTGGTTACAGGGAAGGGAGGATCGTACTGGGAGCACTGGGAGGAGAAACTGGGGGGTAACTGGGGCCAGGGAGGGATACTGGGAGCACTGGGAGGGGTAACTGGGGGGTAACTGGGGCCAGGGAGGGATACTGGGAGCACTGGGAGGGGTAACTGGGAGCACTGGGAGCAATGGAAGGGATACTGGGAGCACTGGGAGGGGTAACTGGGAGGAGTGGGACCAGGGAGGGATACTGGGAGCAGTGGGAAGGGTAACTGGGGGGTAACTGGGGCCAGGGGGGGATACTGGGAGCACTGGGAGGGGTAACTGGGTTGACTGGGCCCAGGGAGGGATACTGGGAGCACTGGGAAGGGTAACTGGGAGCACTGGGAGGGGTTACTGGTGGGTTACTGGGGCCAGGGGGGGATACTGGGAGCACTGGGAGGGGTAACTGGGAGCACTGGGAGCAATGGAAGGGATACTGGGAGCACTGGGAGGGGTAACTGGGGGGTAACTGGGGCCAGGGGGGGATACTGGGAGCACTGGGAGGGGTAACTGGTGGGCAACTGGGATGACACTGGGACAGGTAACTGGGAGCACTGGGACCAGGGAGGGATACTGGGAGCAGTGGGAAGGGTAACTGGGAGCACTGGGAGGGATTCTGGGAGCACTGGGGGGGGTAACTGGGAGCACTGGGAACATTGGGAGGGGTAACTGGGAGCAATGGAAGGGATACTGGGAGCACTGGGAGGGGTAACTGGGTTGACTGGGACCAGGGAGGGATACTGGGAGCACTGGGAGGGGTAACTGGGTTGACTGGGACCAGGGAGGGATACTGGGGAGCACTGGGAGGGGTAACTGGGAGCACTGGGAGCAATGGAAGGGATACTGGGAGCACTGGGAGGGGTAACTGGGAGGTAACTGGGATGACACTGGGACAGGTAACTGGGAGCACTGGGACCAGGGAGGGATACTGGGAGCAGTGGGAAGGGTAACTGGGAGCACTGGGAGGGATACTGGGAGCACTGGGAGGGATAACTGGGGGGTTACTGGGGCCAGGGGGGGATACTGGGAGCACTGGGAGGGGTAACTGGGAGCACTGGGAGCAATGGAAGGGATACTGGGAGCACTGGGAGGGGTAACTGGGGGGTAACTGGGATGACACTGGGACAGGTAACTGGGAGCACTGGGACCAGGGAGGGATACTGGGAGCAGTGGGAAGGGTAACTGGGAGCACTGGGAGGGATTCTGGGAGCACTGGGGGGGGTAACTGGGAGCACTGGGAACATTGGGAGGGGTAACTGGGAGCAATGGAAGGGATACTGGGAGCACTGGGAGGGGTAACTGGGGGGTAACTGGGGCCAGGGGGGGGATACTGGGAGCACTGGGAGGGTTAACTGGGTTGACTGGGGCCAGGGAGGGATACTGGGAGCAGTGGGAAGGGTAACTGGGAGCACTGGGAGGGGTAACTGGTGGGTTACTGGGGCCAGGGGGGGATACTGGGAGCGCTGGGAGGGGTAACTGGGAGCACTGGGAGCAATGGAAGGGATACTGGGAGCACTGGGAGGGGTAACTGGGGGGTAACTGGGGCCAGGGGGGGGATACTGGGAGCGCTGGGAGGGGTAACTGGGAGGTTATGGGGCCAGGGGGGGATACTGGGAGCACTGGGAATACTGGGAGGGGTAACTGGGACCAGGGAGGGGTACTGGGAGCGGTGGAAGGGGTAACTGGGAGCACTGGGATGACACTGGGAGAGGTTACTGGGAGCACTGGGAGCAGTGGAAGGGATACTGGGAGCACTGGGAGGGGTAACTGGGGGGTAACTGGGGCCAGGGGGGGGATACTGGGAGCGCTGGGAGGGGTAACTGGGGGGTAACTGGGAACACTGGGAGGGGTAACTGGGACCAGGGAGGGATACTGGGAGCGGTGGGAGGGGTAACTGGGAGCACTGGGAGGGATATTGGGAGCACTGGGAGGGGTAACTGGGGGGTAACTGGGGCCAGGGGGGGATACTGGGAGCACTGGGGGGGGGTAACTGGGAGCACTGGGAACATTGGGAGGGGTAACTGGGAGCACTGGGAGGGATAACGGGGGGTAACTGGGGCCAGGGGGGGGATACTGGGAGCAGTGGGAAGGGTAACTGGGGGGTAACTGGGGCCAGGAAGCGATACTGGGAGCACTGGGAGGGGTAACTGGGAGCACTGAGATGACACTGGGAGGGTTAACTGGGTTGACTGGGGCCAGGGAGGGATACTGGGAGCACTGGGAAGGGTAACTGGGAGCACTGGGGGGGTAACTGGGAGCACTGGGAACATTGGGAGGGGTAACTGGGAGCAGTGGAAGGGATACTGGGAGCAGTGGGAAGGGTAACTGGGAGCACTGGGAGCAGTGGGAAGGGTAACTGGGAGCACTGGGAGCGGTTACTGGTGTAACTGGGCACCTCGATGTTGATGAAGACGCTCTCCAGGTCCTGCGGCTGCAGGAAGTGCCTGAGCGGGGCGCAGGAAGTGCTGTGGGCACTGGGATTACTGGGAGCACTGGGAGCACTGGGAGCACTGGGAGCACTGGGAGCACTGGGGATGCGCCCCACAGCCCCTGCGCCCCGCTCACGTCCCCGTGCCCCCATACCCACCCTGGACCCCACATCCCCTCCCATATCCCCTTCATGACCCCATATCCTCCATGACCCCACATCCCCCCATGACCCCATATACCCCAATGACCCCACATCCCCTCACGACCCCATAACCCTCCACGACCCCATAACCCCCCAATGACCCCAAATCCCCCCATGACCCCATAACCCCCAATGACCCCACAACCCCCCATGACCCCATATCCCCCCGTCACCCCACATCCCCCCATCACCCCATATCCTCCATGACCCCATATTCTCCATCACCCCACAACCCCCAATGACCTCGCATCCCCCCATGACCCCATATCCCCCTCATGACCCCATATACTCCATGACTCCATATCCCCCAATGACCCATATACCCCAATGACCCCACACCCCCTCACGACCCCATAACCCTCCATGACCCCATAACCCCCCAATGACCTCAAATCCCCCCAGACCCCAGATCCCCCCATGACCCCATAAACCCCCCATGACCCCACATCCCCCCATGACCCCACATCCCCCAATGACCCCACATCCCCCCCATGACCCCATAACCCTCCATGACCCCATATCCCCCAACGACCCATATCCCCCCATGACCCCACAACCTTCCCCATGACTCCACATCCCCCCATGACTCCACATCCCTCCATGACCCCACTCCCCCCCAATGACCCCATATCCCCCCATGACCCCATATCCCTCCATCACCCCATATCTCCCAATGACCCCACATCCCCCCATGACCCCACACCCCCTCATGACCCCACATCCCCCCATGACCCCACATCCCCCCCATGACCCCATAACCCCCCATGACCCCACATACCCCCATGACCCCATATCCCCCAGTGACCCCACACCCCCTCACGACCCCAAATTCCCCCATGACCCCACAACCTTCCCCATGACTCCACACCCCCTCATGACCTCAGATCCCCCAATGACCCCACATCCCCCCCATGACCCCAAATTCCCCCATGACCCAAATATCCCCCCATGACCCCACAACCCCCCATGACTCCACATCCCCCAATGACCCCAGATCCCCCCATGACCCCACATCCCCCAATGACCCCACACCCCCTCATGACCCCACAACCCCCCATGACCCCACAACCCCCCATGACCCCACATCCCCCCATGACCCCACACCTCCTCACGACCCCATAACCCTCCATGACCCCATAACCCCCCTGTGACCCCATAACCCCCCATGACCCCACATCCCCCCATCACCCCATATCCCCCATGACCCCATATCCTCCCCATGACCCCATAACCCTCCATGACCCCATAACCCCCCAATGACCCCATATCCCCCCATGACCCCAGATCCCCCCATGACCCCATATCCTCCATGACTCCATATCCCCCAATGACCCATATCTCCTCCATGACCCCATAACCCCCCATGACCCCATATCCCCCAATGACCCCATATCCCCCCGTGACCCCACAACCTTCCCCATGACTCCACACCCCCTCACGACCCCACATCCCCCCATGACCCCACATCCCCCCCATGACCCCATAACCCTCCATGACCCCATGTCCCTCAATGACCCACATACCCCCATGACTCCACATCCCCCCACGATCCCACATCCCCCCATGACCCCACATCTCCCCATGACCCCAGATCCCCCCATGACCCCACAACCCCCCATGACCCCACATCCCCCCCATGACCCCACATCCCCTCATCACCCCATATCCCCCAATGACCCCACATACCCCCCATGACCCCACATCCCCCCCATGACCCCATATCCCCCCATGACTCCACATCCCCCCATGACTCCACATCCCCCATGACCCCACATCCCCCCATGACCCCACATCCCCCCCATGACCCCATAACCCTCCATGACCCCACAACCCCCCATGACCCCACATCCCCCCCCACGTCCCCCTATCCCACACCGTGCAGATGGACTCGAGGGTCTCGGTGTATTTCTCCTCCGTCTGCCTCAGCTCCTGGAGGCAGCAGTGCCTGCGGTCCACCTCCACCCTCTGCGGGGGGACAACCGTGTCCTCAAAGGGGGGGTCGGGATTTGGGGAGGGGGGACGACGGCGACCCCACAAACGGGGGCCCCACAGCCGGGGTCTGGGGGCTCACAGCGGACGGGGGGACGTCCGCCCTCATCAGGTCCTCGTAGACGTCGTCCCCGTCGTCCCCTTCGGCCTCGACGCAGTCGTACAGCTCGTCGTCGTCCTCCACCGTGTCGCTGTTGGGGGACAGGATGGCACCCCTTCGATCCCCCCCCAAACTGGGACCAAATACCCCACAGACCCTATAGAATAACGCTAACATGGCCCCCAAAATGTCCCACAAACCCTATAGAATAATGCTGGAATGGCCCCCAAAATGTCCCACAGACCCTATAGAATAACGCCAACATGGCCCCCAAAATGTCCCACAAACCCTATAGAATAACGCCAACATGGCCCCCAAAATATCCCACAAACCCTATAGAATAATGCTGGAATGGCCCCCAAAATGTCCCACAAACCCTATAGAATAATGCAGGAATGGCCCCCAAAATGTCCCCCAAATCCTACAAACTGAACCCCAAATTACTCCAACATGTCCTCCAAACCCCACAAACCGACCCCACAAACTGCCCCCAAACATCCCCCAAACCCTACAAACTGAACCCCAAATCACTCCCAACATGTCCTACAGACCCCACAAACCAACCAGCCCCAAAATGTCCCCCAAACCACCCCAAACGTCCCCCAAACCCTACAAAATAGACCCCAAATCCCTCCCTACATGTCCTACAGACCCCACAAACCAGCTGCCACAAAATGACCCCCAAACCACCCCAAACATCCCCCAAATCCTACAAAATGGACCCCAAATCACCCCCAACATGTCCTCCAAACCCCACAAACCAGCTGCCCCAAAATAACCCCCAAAATACCCCAAACATCCCCCAAACCCTACAGAATAACACTGGAATGGCCCCCAAAATGTTCCCCAAACCCTACAAACTGAACCCCAAATTACTCCCAACATGTCCTACAGACCCCATAAACCGACCCCAAAAGAACCCCCAAATCAACCCCAAAATAACCGCACAAACCACCCCAAATGTCCCCCAAACCCTACAAACTGAACCCCAGATCCCTCCCAACATGTCCTCCAAACCCCATAAACCGACCCCACAAACTGCCCCCAAACATCCCCCAAACCCTACAAACTGAACCCCAAATCACTCCCAACATGTCCTCCAGACCCCACAAACCAACACCACAAACCAACCCTACAAACTGCCCCCAAACATCCCATAAACCCTACAAAATAGACCCCAAATCCCTCCCAACATGTCCTCCAGACCCCACAAACCAGCTGCCCCAAAATAACCCCCAAAATACCCCAAACATCCCCCAAACCCTACAAAATAGACCCCAAATCCCTCCCAACATGTCCCACAAACCCCACAAACCAACCAGCCCCAAAATAACCCCAAAATACCCCCAATATCCCCCAAACCCTACAAACTGGACCCCAAATCACTCCCAACATGTCCCACAAACCCTACAAACCAGCTGCCCCAAAATGACCCCCAAACCACCCCAAATGTCCCCCAAACCCTACAAACTGAACCCCAGATCCCTCCCAACATGTCCTCCAAACCCCATAAACCGACCCCACAAACTGCCCCCAAACATCCCCCAAACCCTACTAACTGAACCCCAAATCACTCCCAACATGTCCTCCAGACCCCACAAACCAACACCACAAACCAACCCTACAAACTGCCCCCCAAACATCCCATAAACCCTACAAAATAGACCCCAAATCACTCCCAACATGTCCTCCAGACCCCACAAACCAACACCACAAACCAACCCTACAAACTGCCCCCAAACATCCCATAAACCCTACAAAATAGACCCCAAATCACTCCCAACATGTCCTCCAGACCCCACAAACCAACCAGCCCCAAAATAACCCCCAAAATACCCCCAATATCCCCCAAACCCTACAAAAGAGACCCCAAATCACTCCCAACATGTCCCACAAACCCCACAAACCAGCTGCCCCAAAATAACCCCCAAACCACCCCAAACATCCCCCAAACCCTACAAACTGAACCCCAAATCCCTCCCAACATGTCCCACAAACCCCACAAACCAACCAGCCCCAAAATAACCCCCAAAATACCCCCAATATCCCCCAAACCCTACAAACTGAACCCCAAATTACTCCCAACATGTCCTCCAAACCCCATAAACCGACTCCACAAACTGCCCCCAAACATCCCCCAAACCCTACAAAATAGACCCCAAATCCCTCCCAACATGTCCCACAAACCCCACAAACCAACCAGCCCCAAAATAACCCCAAAATACCCCCAATATCCCCCAAACCCTACAAACTGGACCCCAAATCACTCCCAATATGTCCCACAAACCCTACAAACCAGCTGCCCCAAAATGACCCCCAAACCACCCCAAATGTCCCCCAAACCCTACAAACTGAACCCCAAACCACTCCCAACATGTCCCACAAACCCCACAAACCAACCAGCCCCAAAATAACCCCCAAAATATCCCCAATATCCCCCAAACCCTACAAACTGAACCCCAAATCCCTCCCAACATGTCCTCCAGACCCCACAAACCAGCTGCCCCAAAATAAACCCCAAAATACCCCCAATATCCCCCAAACCCTACAACATAGACCCCAAATCACTCCCAACATGTCCCACAAACCCCACAAACCAGCTGCCCCAAAATAACCCCCAAACCACCCCAAACATCCCCCAAACCCTACAGAATAACACTGGAATGGCCCCCAAAATGGCCCCCAAATCCTACAAACTGAACCCCAAATTACTCCCAACATGTCCTACAGACCCCATAAACCAACCAGCCCCAAAATGTCCCCCAAACCACCCCAAACGTCCCCCAAACCCTACAAAGTGACCCCAAATCACTCCCCACATGTCCTCCAGACCCCACAAACCAGCTGCCCCAAAATAACCCCCAAACCACCCCAAACATCCCCCAAACCCTACAAAATGGACCCCAAATAACTCCCAACATGTCCCACAAACCCCACAAACCAACCAGCCCCAAAATAACCCCCAAAATACCCCAAACATCCCCCAAACCCTGCAAAGTGACCCCAAATCCCCCCGCTCACTCAATGAGGTCCGAGAGCCCGCTGTAGATTTCGTCGTCCCCATCGCAGTCCTCGGTGGGGAAGGGTCTGTTTGGGGGGGGGGGGGCGCAGTTTTATGGGGTCAGGGACCCGGGTCCCATAGGGCTGGGGGGGTCTTGATCCCATAGGAACAGGACAGCCGGATCCCATGGGTTTGTGGGGTCTGGGTCCCATTGGGGTTGGGAACTTGAGTCCCATAGGGTCAGAGACAAGGGTCTGTGGGGTTGGGGGGGGTCACAGACCCTATGGGGTTGGGGACGTGGGACCCATGGGGGGGTGGGATTTGGGACCCATGGGTTGGGGACGTGGGTTTACAGGGTTGGGGACATGGGACCCATGGGGTTGGGGACGTGGGTTTATAGGGTTGGGGACATGGGACCCATGGGGGGGGTGGGATTTGGGACCCATGGGGTTGGGGACATGGGTTTATAGGATTGGGGACATGGGTCCTATGGGGTTGAGGATCTGAGTCCCATAGGGTTGGGAACCTGGAACCTATGGGGTTGGGGAAATGGAACCCATGGGTACGGGGATGTGGGTGCTATGGGGTTGGGGACATGGAACCCATGGATATGGGGACGTGGGTCCTATGGGTATGGGGACATGGGACCCATGGATATGGGGATGTGGGTCCTATGGGTATGGGGACATGCGACCCATGGTTATGGGGACATGGGACCCATGGATATGGGGAATTGGGTGCTATGGGGTTGGGGACATGGGACCCATGGATATGGGGATGTGGGTCCTATGGGTATGGGGACATGCGACCCATGGATATGGGGACATGGGACCCATGGATATGGGGAATTGGGTGCTATGGGGTTGGGGACATGGGACCCATGGATATGGGGACGTGGGTCCTATGGGACTGGGGACATGGGACCCATGGATATGGGGACGTGGGTGCTATGGGGTTGGGGACATGGGACCCATGGATATGGGGACGTGGGTGCTATGGGGCTGGGGACATGGGACCCATGGATATGGGGACGTGGGTCCTATGGGGTTGGGGACATGGGACCCATGGATTTGGGGACATGGGACCCATGGATATGGGGACATCAACGGGACCCCCGCCCTCACGTGAAGCCTTTGCTCTGTGCGATGGGCGTCCAGGACAGCGTGGACAAGGTGTCGATCACCTGAGGGCAGAAATGGGGTCACCGGGGGGGGGGGGGGGGGGGAGGTGACCGTCCCCAGGTTGTCCCCAATCCTGTCCCCAACGCCGCTGTCCCACCTTCCCAAAATCCTGAACGTCAAAGAGGTCGAAGGCCCCGAAGAGGCGATGCTTGGGGAGCCCGAATTTGTCGGCGCAGGCGGTCAGGAAGGTGCGGATGTTCCTCAGGCACAGGAACTGCGGTGGCAGACGTCACCGTCACCAATGGCGTCCCCATTTGTCACCGTCACCAATGGCTCCCCATTTGTCACCGTCACCAATGGCGTCCCCGTTTGTCACCGTCACCAACGGCGTCCCCGTTTGTCACCGTCACCAATGGCGTCCCCGTTTGTCACCGTCACCAATGGCGTCCCCGTTTGTCACCGTCACCAACGGCGCCCCGTTTGTCACCGTCACCGATGGCGTCCCCGTTTGTCACCGTCACCAATGGCGTCCCCATTTGTCACCGTCACCGACGGCGCCCCGTTTGTCACCGTCATCAATGGCGTCCCCGTTTGTCACCGTCACCGACGGCGCCCCGTTTGTCACCGTCACCGATGGCGCCCCGTTTGTCACCGTCACCAATGGCGTCCCCGTTTGTCACCGTCACCAATGGCGTCCCGTTTGTCACCGTCACCGATGGCGTCCCCGTTTGTCACCGTCACCAATGGCGTCCCGTTTGTCACCGTCACCGACGGCACCCCCGTTTGTCACCGTCACCAATGGCGTCCCCGTTTGTCACCGTCACCAATGCCGCCCCGTTTGTCACCGTCACCAATGGCGTCCCCGTTTGTCACCGTCACCGACGGCGCCCCCGTTTGTCACCGTCACCAATGGCGTCCCCGTTTGTCACCGTCACCAATGCCGCCCCGTTTGTCACCGTCACCAATGGCGTCCCCGTTTGTCACCGTCACCGATGGCGTCCCGTTTGTCACCGTCACCAATGGCGTCCCCGTTTGTCACCGTCACCGATGGCGCCCCGTTTGTCACCGTCATCAATGGCGCCCCGTTTGTCACCGTCACCAATGGCGCCCCGTTTGTCACCGTCACTGATGGCGTCCCCGTTTGTCACCGTCACCGATGGCGCCCCGTTTGTCACCGTCACCGATGGTGTCCCCGTTGGTCACCGTCACCAATGGCGCCCCGTTTGTCACCGTCACCAATGGTGTCCCCGTTTGTCACCGTCACCGATGGCGTCCCCGTTTGTCACCGTCATCAATGGCGTCCCCGTTTGTCACCGTCACCGATGGCGTCCCCATTTGTCACCGTCACCGACGGCGTCCCCGTTTGTCACCGTCACCAATGGCGTCCCCGTTTGTCACCGTCACCGATGGCGCCCCGTTTGTCACCGTCACCGACGGCGTCCCCGTTTGTCACCGTCACCAATGGCGCCCTGTTTGTCACCGTCACCGATGGCGTCCCCATTTGTCACCGTCACCGACGGCGTCCCCGTTTGTCACCGTCACCGATGGCGTCCCCGTTTGTCACCGTCACCGATGTCGCCCCGTTTGTCACCGTCACCAATGGCGCCCCGTTTGTCACCGTCACCAATGGCGTCCCCGTTTGTCACCGTCACCGACGGCGCCCCATTTGTCACCGTCACCGATGGCGTCCCCGTTTGTCACCGTCACCAACAGCGCCCCGTTTGTCACCGTCACCAATGGCACCCCGTTTGTCACCGTCACCAATGGCGCCCCGTTTGTCACCGTCACTGATGGCGTCCCCGTTTGTCACCGTCACCAATGGCGTCCCCGTTTGTCACCGTCACCAATGGCGTCCCCGTTTGTCACCGTCACTGATGGCGTCCCGTTTGTCACCGTCACCAATGGCGTCCCCGTTTGTCACCGTCACCGATGGCGCCCCGTTTGTCACCGTCACCGATGGCGTCCCCGTTTGTCACCGTCACCAATGGCGTCCCGTTTGTCACCGTCACCAATGGCGTCCCCGTTTGTCACCGTCACCGATGTCGCCCCGTTTGTCACCGTCACCAATGCCGCCCCGTTTGTCACTGTCACCAATGGCGCCCCATTTGTCACCGTCACCGACGGCATCCCCGTTTGTCACCGTCACCGATGGCGCCCCGTTTGTCACCGTCACCGACGGCGCCCCGTTTGTCACCGTCACCAATGTCGCCCCATTTGTCACCGTCACCGACGGCGCCCCGTTTGTCACCGTCACCGATGGCACCCCGTTTGTCACCGTCACCGACGGCGTCCCCGTTTGTCACCGTCATCAATGGCGCCCCGTTTGTCACCGTCACCCACGGCGTCCCCGTTTGTCACCGTCATCAATGGCGCCCCGTTTGTCATCGTCACCGACGGCGTCCCCGTTTGTCACCGTCACCGATGGCGCCCCGTTTGTCACCGTCACCGACAGCGCCCCGTTTGTCACCGTCACCAGTGGCGCCCCGTTTGTCACCATCACCGATGGCGCCCCGTTTGTCACCGCCACTCTCGGCTCCCACCACCGCTGCCCCCCTCCGTCACCGTCATCATCGTCAAATGCCGTCATTGTCATCACCGTCGTTGCTTGTAGCTGCTGTCACTGTCACCCCAACTGTCATTGTCACCCTAACAGTCATTGTCACCCCAAAAGTTGTCACCCCAACAGTCATTGTCACCCCAGTGGTCATTGTCACCCCAACCATTGTCACCCCAGTGGTCAGTGTCACCCCAGTGGTCAGTGTCACCCCAACAGTTGTCACCCCAACAGTCATTGTCACCCCAGTGGTCATTGTCACCCCAGTGATCATTGTCACCCCAACCATTGTCACCCGAACAACTCACTGTCACCCCAGTGGTCATTGTCACCCCAACAGTTGTCATCCCAACAGTTGTCACCCCAACAGTCATTGTCACCCCGTGGTCATTGTCGCCCCAACAGTCATTGTCACCCCAGTTGTCATTGTCACCCCAAAAGTTGTCACCCCAACTTTAATTGTCACCCCAGTGGTCATTGTCAACCCAACCGTTGTCAACCCAATAGTCACTGTCACCCCAACTGCCATTGTCACCCCAACAGTCATTGTCACCCCAACCGTTGTCACCCTAACAGTCATTGTCACCCCAACAGTTGTCACTCCAAAAGTTGTCACCCCAGCAGTCATTGTCACCCCCACGGTCATTGTCACCCCAACCGTTGTCACCCCAACAGTCAATGTCAACCCAATACTCATTGTCACCCCTACAGTTGTCACCCCAGTGATTGTTGTCACCCCAACATTCAATGTCAACCCCAATGGTCATTGTCACCCCAACAGTCGTCACCCCAACAAGTCATTGTCACCCCAACGGTCATGGTGACCCCACAGTGTCACCCCAGCAGTCACTGTCCCCCCGCTGACTATTGTCACCCCAACGGTCGCCGTCACCCCAGTGGCACCATCACTGTCACCATCGGCGTCGATCCTGTCGTCACTTCACCACCTCTGTCACCGTCACCCCACCGCCATCACCGCCACCTCCATTCCCTCCAGCCCCACCATCAGTGCCCTCCAAGACCCCCTGGTTGGCACTGTCACCCCAATCCCCCCTCCCTGGGGACCTCCCTCCCCTCTTACCCCTCCCTGGGGCAACAACATCCCCAAATACCCCCCCCAGCCCCCCATTTACCCCTCACCCGGGGCAATTACCATCTCATTTACATCCTCCTCCCTCCCCCCAGCTTCCCTGGGTGCAGCTCTACCCTTATTCCACCCCCCCACCCCCCTTTTCCCCGTTAATTATTCACCCTCTGTCGCACACCTGTGACATTTGGGGACGGGGACAAATGTCCCTGGGGGGCACGGCGTTGGGCAGGAGGGCGTTGAGGAGGTGACAGAGAAGAACCCCATCCCTCAACGCCTGTGCCAGGTCCCAAACTTGTCCCGTGGGGCTGCTGGCACGGTGACCGGCCGGGAGAACCCTTGCTGTCACCAACCAATGGGCGCATTGCCTCCACGCCTCCATGGGGGGGACAACAGGGGGTCGTTTTTGGGGAAGAGGAAGGTGGGAGTGGGGTCGTGGTGGGGGTCACGGGTGGAAAGAGGTGGTGGGGATGGGATCCTGGTGGGTCGCTTCTGGAAGGATGAGGTGAATACGGGGTCCTGGTGGGGTCACAGGTGGAAAGAGGTGATGGAGATGGGATCCTGTGGGTCGCTTCTGGAAGGATGAGGTGGATACGGGGTCGTGGTGGGGTCACAGGTGGAAAGAAGTGATGGAGATGGGATCCTGTGGGTCACTGCCAGAAGGATGATGGATACGGGGTTGTGTGGTCACAGATGGAAAGAAGTGATGGAGATTAGGGATCCTGGTGGGTCCCTCTGGGGAGGAGCAGCGGTTGTGGGGTTCTGGTGGGGTCGCTTCTGGAAGGAGACGATAGATATGGGGTTGCTGTGGGGTCACAGGTGGAAAGAGGTGACGGAGATGGGATCCTGTGGGTCACTTTTGGGAAGGATGAGGTGGATACAGGGTCGTGGTGGGGTCACAGGTGGAAAGAAGTGATGGAGATGGGATCCGGTGGGTCACTGCCAGAAGAAAAGATGGATATGGGGTTGTTGTGGGTCACTTCTGGAAGGAGGTGATGGATATGGGGTGCTGGTGGGTCCCTCTGGGGAGGAGCAGCGGTTGTGGGGTCCTGGTGGGGTCGCTTCTGGAAGGAGACGATGGATATGGGGTCGTTGTGGGGTCACAGATGGAAAGAGGTGATGGGGATGGGATCCTGTGGGTCAATTTTGGGAAGGATGAGGTGGATACGGGGTCCTGGTGGGGTCACAGGTGGACAGAGATGATGGAGGTGGGATCCTGGTGGGTCCCTCTGGGGAGGAGCAGCGGTTGTGGGGTCCTGGTGGGGTCGCTTCTGGAAGGAGACGATGGATATGGGGCTGTGGTGGGGTCACAGGTGGAAAGAGGTGATGGAGGTGGGATCCTGTGGGTCACTTCTGGAAGGAGGCGATGGACATGGTCCTGAGGTCACTTTCTGGAATGTTCTGGTGGGTATGGGATGGAGTTTGGATCACTTCCAGAAGGCGATGAAAGGGTGTGGGATCGTGGTGGGATCACAGGTGGAAGGAGCTGATGGAGGTGGGATCGTGGTGGGATCCCAAACTGATGGAGCCGATGGGTGAAGGATCGTGGTGGGATCACTTCTGGATGGAGCCAATGGATGTAGGATCGAGGTGGGATCACTCTGGATGGATCCAATGGATGTGGTATCGAGGTGGGATCACTCTGGATGGATCTGATGGATGTAGGATCGAGGTGGGATCACTCTGGATGGATCTGATGGATGTGGTATTGAGATGGGATCAATCTGGATGGATCCGATGGATGTAGGATAGAGGTGGGATCACTCCGGATGGATCCGATGGATGTAGGATCGAGGTGGGATCACTCTGGACGGATCCAATGGATGTAGGATCGAGGTGGGATCACTCTGGACGGATCCAATGGATGTAGAATCGTGGTGGGATCACTCTGGATGGATCCAATGGATGTAGGATCGAGGTGGGATCACTCTGGATGGATCTGATGGATGTAGGATCACGGTGGGATCACTCTGGATGGATCCGATGGACGTAGGATCGAGGTGGGATCACTCTGGATGGATCCGATGGACGTAGGATCGAGGTGGGATCACTGGACGGATCCAATGGATGTAGGATTGTGGTGGGATCACTCTGGATGGATCTGATGGATGTAGGATCACGGTGGGATCACTCTGGATGGATCCAGTGGATGTAGGATCACGGTGGGATCACTCTGGACGGATCTGACGGATGTAGGATCGAGGTGGGATCACTCTGGACAGATCCAATGGATGTAGGATCATGGTGAGATCCCTTCTGACCCTCCCTCCCCACAGGACAATGGCGCTGAGTCCCCGCGGCCGTGGGAAGGACCAACCACCACCTTCCTCTTCCCACCACCGCCACCGGATCCGGGCAGGGACCCACCGCGATGCGTCCCTCCCCGCCCCACACCCACCTTTGGGGAGGACCCGGTGGTCTCGTGGATCCCCACCCCCCCCAGGGCCGTGGGGGGGATTCTGTGGGCACAGGGCCCGGGGTGGGCCTGGGGTCTGAGGGGTCCGGAAGCGATGTGAACAGTGCTGCGCCTGCGCCCCACAGATTGCAGGGGACGATGGGAACAGGCGCCCGGATGTGGGGGATGCGGGTGGGGAGGAAGCGACATCACTGGGGCCTCTGTGGGGCCCCGCCGGCATCGCTGGGGGTGGGGAGAGAGGAGGGGTTATGGGGGGGCACAGAGCTATGGGGCGGCGATGGGTCCTGGGCCATGGGGAGTCAGGCATGGAAGAAAGGAGGATCCGTTCCGGTCCTTTGGGATCGAGGTGATCCATCCTGATTTTATGGGATTGGGGTGTCCAGATATAGGAACTCATTCTGGTCCTTTGGGATCGAGGTGTTGGATATGGGATCCACCCTGGTCCTTTGGGATCAAGGTGTTGGATATGGGATCCACCCTGGTCCTTTGGGATTGAGGTGTTGGATATGGGGACCCACCCCGATCCTTCAATATCAAGGTGATCCATCCCAGTCTTTTAGGATCGAGGTGTTGGATATGGGATCCAACCTGGTCCTTTGGGATCGAGGTGTTGGATATGGGGACACATCCTGCTCCTTTGGGATCGAGGTGTTGGATTTGGGGACACATCCTGCTCCTTTGGGATTGAGGTGTTGGATTTGGGGACACATCCTGCTCCTTTGGGATCGAGGTGTTGGATTTGGGGACACATCCTGCTCCTTTGGGATCGAGGTGTTGGATTTGGGGACACATCCTTCTCCTTTGGGATCGAGGTGTTGGATATGGGGACACATCCTGGTCCTTTGGGATCGAGGTGTTGGATATGGGGACACATCCTGCTCCTTTGGGATCGAGGTGTTGGATATGGGGACACATCCTGCTCCTTTGGGATCGAGGTGTTGGATATGGGGACGCATCCTGCTCCTTTGGGATCGAGGTGTTGGATATGGGGACACATCCTGCTCCTTTGGGATCAAGGTGTTGGATTTGGGATCCACCCTGGTCCTTTGGGATCGAGGTGTTGGATATGGGGACCCACCCCGATCCTTCAATATCAAGGTGATCCATCCCAGTCTTTTAGGATCGAAGTGTTGGATATGGGGACGCATCCTGCTCCTTTGGGATCGAGGTGTTGGATATGGGGACACATCCTGCTCCTTTGGGATCGAGGTGTTGGATATGGGGACCCTTCCTGCTCCTTTGGGATCGAGGTGTTGGATATGGGGACACATCCTGGTCCTTTGGGATCGAGGTGTTGGATATGGGGACACATCCTGCTCCTTTGGGATCGAGGTGTTGGATATGGGGACACATCCTGGTCCTTTGGGATCGAGGTGTTGGATATGGGGACACATCCTGCTCCTTTGGGATCGAGGTGTTGGATATGGGGACACATCCTGCTCCTTTGGGATCGAGGTGTTGGATATGGGGACACATCCTGCTCCTTTGGGATCGAGGTGTTGGATATGGGGACACATCCTGCTCCTTTGGGATCAAGGTGTTGGATATGGGGACACATCCTGCTCCTTTGGGATCGAGGTGTTGGATATGGGGACACATCCTGCTCCTTTGGGATCGAGGTGTTGGATATGGGGACACATCCTGCTCCTTTGGGATCGCAGATTTTGGGGACCGTGGGTGACCCACCCGGCCCTCTGGGGGACACAGCTTTTTGGGGACAGGGACCCAATCCCTGCACGGACCCAAATGTCCAGGAATGGTGACCCAGGACCCCAAGAGAACCCAAAGTCCCGGCACAGCGACCCGTCCTGGTGCCGTGGGGACCCCACACCATTGGGGTTGTCACATAGGGGGGGGGACCCTATGATACAGGGACAGCGAGTGACCCACGGAGCCCACGAGGGACGCAGATATTTGGGGACAGTGGCATCTGTGCCCACGGTGACCCCGAGAGGACCCAGATTTATGGGGACGGCGACCCAAGGGACGCAGATATTTGGGGACGGTGACATCTGTGCCCATGGTGACCCCAAGCGGACCCAGATTTATGGGGACGGCGACCCAAGGGACGCAGATATTTGGGGACGGTGACATCTCTGCTCACAGTGACCCCAAGCAGACCCAGATTTATGGGGACGGCGACCCAAGGGACGCAGATATTTGGGGACGGTGGCATCTGTGCCCACAGTGACCCCAAGCAGACCCAGATTTATGGGGACGGCGACTCAAGGGACGCAGATATTTGGGGACGGTGACATCTGTGCCCACGGTGACCCCAAGCGGACCCAGATTTATGGGGACGGCGACCCAAGGGACGCAGATATTTGGGGACGGTGGCATCTGTGCCCACAGTGACCCCAAGCAGACCCAGATTTATGGGGACGGCGACTCAAGGGACGCAGATATTTGGGGACGGTGACATCTGTGCCCATGGTGACCCCAAGCGGACCCAGATTTATGGGGACGGCGACCCAAGGGACGCAGATATTTGGGGACGGTGACATCTGTGCCCACGGTGACCCCAAGAGGACCCAGATTTATGGGGACGGCGACCCAAGGGACGCAGATATTTGGGGACGGTGACATCTGTGCCCATGGTGACCCCAAGCGGACCCAGATTTATGGGGACGGCGACCCAAGGGACGCAGATATTTGGGGACGGTGACATCTGTGCCCACGGTGACCCCAAGCGGACCCAGATTTATGGGGACGGCGACCCAAGGGACGCAGATATTTGGGGACGGTGACATCTCTGCTCACAGTGACCCCAAGCAGACCCAGATTTATGGGGACAGCGACCCAAGGGACGCAGATATTTGGGGACGGTGGCATCTGTGCCCACGGTGACCCCAAGCAGACCCAGATTTATGGGGACGGCGACCCAAGGGACGCAGATATTTGGGGACGGTGACATCTGTGCCCACGGTGACCCCAAGCGGACCCAGATTTATGGGGACGGCGACCCAAGGGACGCAGATATTTGGGGACGGTGGCATCTCTGCTCACAGTGACCCCAAGCAGACCCAGATTTATGGGGACGGCGACCCATCCTGCCTTATAGGGGATCCGGGGACGGAGCCCCAACGTCCCTCCACCCCCAACATCCCAAGAGGTGCCAGCGCTGCCCCACATCCCCCCCCCTGCTCTCCCCTCCCCCCCCCCCCAGCAGTGTTGCAATGCGGCCCCCCGCCAGCTGCCTTCCCCGAAATGAGGAAGGCCCCACACGTCCGGGCAGCTCCTCCCTAAATCAGGGAGGGGGGAGGTTATGGGGTGGGGGGGTGGGGACGGAGATTCCTCCCTAATATCAGCCCCTTATGGGGGTTCCCTCGCCCAGGACCCCCACCTCTCAGCCCCACGGATTGACCCCGGTCCCCTTGATCCCACGGTTGACCCCGCTGTCGGGGTGCTGGTGTGTGGGGTGAATCTCGCTGACCCCATAGATCTGGGTCTGGGTTACCCATTAACCAGCGCTGCCGCTATAAAGGGACGTCCCCCATTCCCACCCCCCCACCCCGTGTCCCCTCTGTCCCTTGTGTCCCCTGCGTCCCCTCTGTCCCCCTCTCTCAGCCATGGGGCTGCTGCTTCTGCCCCTCCTGCTCGGCGTTCTGCTGCTGCACGTGGCCCCCGCACCTGCACAGATGTGAGTTGTACCCCCCCACCCCCCCACCCATGGGACCCCCACCCTCGGGGAAGCCCCTTCCCACCCCCCCCCCCCCGCCGCTGGGACCCCCCTCATCTCTGCATCTCCCAAACTCGTAGGACCCCCATCCTGGGACCCCTCATGCACCCATGGGAACCCCCACCTATGGGAACCCCCACCCATGGGACCCCCACCCTCGGGGACGCCCCTTCCCACCCCCCCCCACCTTTGGGACCCCCCTTGTCTCTGCATCTCCCAAACTCATAGGACCCCCATCCTGGGACCCCTCATGCACCCATGGGAACCCCCACCTATGGGAACCCCCACCCATGGGACCCCCACCCTTGGGGACCCCCCCCACCCCCCCCCACCTCCCCCGCCCCCCCCCGCCTTTGGGACCCCCCTTGTCTCTGCATCTCCCAAACTCGTAGGACCCCCATCCTGGGACCACTCATGCACCCACGGGAACCCCCACCCATGGGATCCCCACCCTTGGGGACCTCCACCTATGGGGACCCCCCACCCCACCCCCCCCTCACCCCCCCCCCTCTTCCTTTGGGACCCCCTCATCTCTGCGTCGCCCTAACCTGTAGGACCCCCATCCTGGGACCCCTCATGCACCCATGGGAACCCCCAACCATGGGACCCCCACCCATGGGACCCCCACCCCCCCTCCCCCCTCCCCCACCTTTGGGACCCCCCTCATCTCTGCGTGTCCCAAACTCGTAGGACCCCCATCCTGGGACCCCTCATGCACCCATGGGAACCCCCACCTATGGGAACCCCCACCTATGGGACCCCCACCCTTGGGGACCCCCCCTCCCACCCCCCACCCTCCCCTTCCTTTGGGACCCCCCTCGTCTCTACGTCTCCCAAACTCGTAGGACCCCCATCCTGGGATCCCTCATGCACCCATGGGAACCCCCACCTATGGGAACCCCCCTCCCACCCCCTCGCACCCCCCTCCCCCGCCATTGGGACCCCCCTCATCTCTGCGTCTCCCAAACTCGTAGGGCCCCCATCCTGGGACCCCTCATGCACCTATGGGCTGCAGTGGGGGTTATAGGGCTGCAGTGGGGTTATAGGGCTGCAGTGGAGTTTATAGGGCCTCAGTGGAGTTTATAGGGCCACAACGGGGTTACAGGGCTGCAGTGCAGGTTATAGGGCTGCAGTGGGGGTTAGAGAGCCACAATGGGGTTATAGGGCTGCAGTGCAGGTTATAGGGCTGCAGTGAAGGTTATAGGGCCTCAACGGGGTTATAGGGCCGCAGTGGGGTTATAGGGCTACAGTGGAGGTTATAGGGCTGCAGTGGGGGTTACAGGGCCGCAGTGGGGTTATAGGGCTACAGTGGAGTTTATAGGGCCGCAATGGGGTTATAGGGCTGCAGTGGGGGTTACAGGGCCTCAGTGGGGTTATAGGGCTGCAGTGAGGGTTACAGGGCCACAATGGGGTTATAGGGCTGCAGTGGAGGTTATAGGGCTGCAGTGGGGGTTACAGGGCCGCAGTGGGGGTTACAGGGCCAAAATGGCGTTACAGGGCTGCAGTGCAGGTTATAGGGCCTCAATAGGGTCATAGGGCTGCAGTGGGGGTTACAGGGCTGTAGTGGGGTTATAGGGCTGCAGTGGAGTTTATAGGGCCGCAATGAGGTTATAGGGCTGCAGTGGGGGTTATAGGGCCTCAGTGGGGTTACAGGGCTGCAGTGGGGGTTACAGGGCCACAATGGGGTTACAGGGCTGCAGTGGAGTTTATAGGGCTGCAGTGGGGGTTATAGGGCCTCAACTGGGTTATAGGGCTGCAGTGGAGTTTATAGGGCCGCAATGATGGTTATAGGGCCTCAATAGGGTCATAGGGCTGCAGTGGAGGTTACAGGGCTGTAGTGGGGTTATAGGGCTACAGTGGAGTTTATAGGGCCGCAATGGGGTTATAGGGCTGCAGTGGGGGTTACAGGGCCTCAGTGGGGTTATAGGGCTGCAGTGAGGGTTACAGGGCCACAATGGGGTTATAGGGCTGCAGTGGAGGTTATAGGGCTGCAGTGGGGGTTACAGGGCCGCAGTGGGGGTTACAGGGCCAAAATGGCGTTACAGGGCTGCAGTGCAGGTTATAGGGCCTCAATAGGGTCATAGGGCTGCAGTGGGGGTTACAGGGCTGTAGTGGGGTTATAGGGCTGCAGTGGAGTTTATAGGGCCGCAATGAGGTTATAGGGCTGCAGTGGGGGTTATAGGGCCTCAGTGGGGGTTACAGGGCTGCAGTGGGGGTTACAGGGCCACAATGGGGTTACAGGGCTGCAGTGGAGTTTATAGGGCTGCAGTGGGGGTTATAGGGCCTCAACTGGGTTATAGGGCTGCAGTGGAGTTTATAGGGCCGCAATGATGGTTATAGGGCTGCAGTGCACATTTTGGGTTGCCTCAGACCCACGGAGGGCTCTCGGGGATGCCGCGGGGTCCCCAGAGAGGTGTGGGGCCGGGTCAGGGCGCCGTTTTGGGGTCGGATCAAGGGCGCGTTGCCATTGGAGATGTGGGGCCGGGCCGCTTTCCCCTATAAGACGCGGCGACCCCATAGGGTGACGATGGTGACCCCGGCGGTGCTGCGGTTGGACACGGAGGAGCAGCTGGTGCTGGAGGCGCCGGGTTTGTCGTCCCCCGTCGAGGCCAACATCGTGGTGCAGGATTTCCCCCAAAAGCGCAAAGTCCTCTTCCAGATCCGCAAGCAGCTCAACCCCGCAGAGGGGATGATGGCCACCGCCACCATCAAGGTGCGTCCCCACCCCGCGCCACCGCTCCTAACCCTAAACCCTAACCCTAAACCCTAACCCTAAACCCTAACCCTAACCCTAACCCTAACCCTAACCCTAAACCCTAACCCTAAACCCTAACCCTAACCCTAACCCTAAACCCTAACCCTAACCCTAACCCTAAACCCTAAACCCTAACCCTAACCCTAACCCTAACCCTAAACCCTAACCCTAACCCTAAACCCTAACCCTAACCCTAACCCTAAACCCTAACCCTAACCCTAACCCTAACCCTAAACCCTAACCCTAACCCTAACCCTAAACCCTAACCCTAACCCTAAACCCTAACCCTAACCCTAAACCCTAACCCTAACCCTAACCCTAACCCTAAACCTAACCCTAAACCCTAACCCTAACCCTAACCCTAACCCTAACCCTAACCCTAACCCTAACCCTAACCCTAACCCTAACCCTAAACCCTAACCCTAAACCCTAACCCTAACCCTAACCCTAACCCTAACCCTAAACCCTAACCCTAACCCTAACCCTAACCCTAAACCCTAACCCTAACCCTAACCCTAACCCTAACCCTAACCCTAACCCTAACCCTAACCCTAACCCTAACCCTAACCCTAACCCTAACCCTAACCCTAAACCCTAACCCTAAACCCTAACCCTAATATCCTAACCCTAACCCTAACCCTAACCCTAACCCTAAACCTGACCCTAACCCTAACCCTAACATAAACCCTAACCCTAACCCTAACCGGCCCCTGACCCCAATCTCGGCCCCAGTCCCAATCCTGACCTTAAGGTTAATCGTAATCTTGAACTCAACTGTAATTTAATCCTAAACCTGACCCTGATGCTAACCCTAACCGTAAACCTAACCCTAACCCTGACCCTAACCCTAAACCTAATCCTAACCCTAACCCTAAACCTGACCCTAACCCTAACCCTAACATAAACCCTAAACCTAACCCTAACCCTAACTCTTATCCTAACCCTAACCCTAACCATAACTTTAACCCTAAACCTAACCCTAACCCTAACTCTTATCCTAACCCTAAACCTGACCCTAATATCCTAACCCTAACCCTAACCGTAACCTAACCCTAACCCTAATATCCTAACCCTAACCCTAATCCTAACCCTAAACCTGACTCTGATGCTAACCCTAACTCAAACTCTAACCCTAACCCTAAACCTGACCCTAATATCCCAACCCTAACCCTAACCCTAATCCTAACCCTAACATAAACCCTAAACCAAGCCCTAAACCTAACCCTAACCCTAATATCCTAACCCTAACCCTAAACCCTAACCCTAACCCTAACCCTAACCCTAACCCTGACCCTAATATCCTAACCCTAAACCTAACCCTAACCCTAACACAAACACTAACCCTACCCTAACCCTAATATCCTAACCCTAACCCTAAACCTGACCCTAACCCTAACCCTGACCCTGACCTTAACCCCAACCCTAAACCTGACCCCAATCCTATAACTGCAACCTTAACCTGAACCCTTACCCTATAACCCCATCTTTAAATCTATAATCCCAAACCTAACTACAGCCCCAATCCAAACCCTATAAGAGCAACTCAAACCTTATAACCCAAACCCCAACCATATAACCTGCAGCTCCAACACTCAGACTAACCCTAACCCTATAACCCCAACCCCAAATCTATTACCCAACCCCAGCCCTATAATCCCAACCCTTATGCCAACCTCAACCCTATGATCCCAACCCTATAGGACAACCCTAACTCTATCATCCAAACCCTATAACCCCAACTCTAACCCTATTATCCCAATCTTAACTCCAACACCCACCCTAACCCAACAACCCCAACCTCAACCCCATAACCCCAACCCTAAACACAAATGGCCCTGTTGGTGTCTTTAGGGTTGGTCACCTTGGGGTCTTTGGGGTCAGCCCTGCAGGTGTCCTTAGGGTCGGTCACTTTGGGGTCTTTGGGGTCAGCCCTGATGCTGTCATTAGGGTTGGTCACTTTGGCGTCTTTGGGGTCAGCCCTGCAGGTGTCCTTAGGATCGGTCACCTTGGGGTCTTTGGGGTCAGCCCTGATGCTGTACTTAGGGTCTCTCACCCTGGGGTCTTTGGGGTCAGCCCTGATGCTGTCATTAGGGTCGGTCACCTTGGGGTCTTTGGGGTCAGCCCTGTAGATGTCCTTAGGATCGGTCACCTTGGGGTCTTTGGGGTCAGTCCTGTTGCTGCTTTTAGGGTTGGTCACCTTGGGGTCTTTGGGGTCAGCCCCGTTGCTGTCCTTAGGGTCTTTCACTGAACAGAAACCCCAGTGCTCATGGGCACAACCGCCTCGGGGTATTTTGGGGTCAGTATTTCGGGGTCCTTGGAGTCTTTGGGGACGGCCACCTCAGTGCGCCCCCATCCCGGTCCCCTGACTGCAGTTGTCCCCCGCTGTCCCCTGTCCCTACAGGTGCCGGTGAAGCTGCTGCCGCAGGTGGTGGGGAAGCACTTTGTGTCGGTGGTGGCACGGGTGGGACAGGTGACCCTGGAGAAGGTGCTGCTGGTGTCCCTACAGAGCGGCCACATCTTCCTGCAGACCGACAAACCCATCTACACCCCCGGCTCCACCGGTGAGCAGCCCTGGGCTGCTGGCCTTGGCATCTGGGGACAATCTGGGGACCGACCTCTTTGTGTCCCCTCCTTCAGGGCTCAGGAGCCATCCTGGGACCTTGCCATGATGTCCCCTTTGGGGTCAGGACCTGTTCGGAGTCATCCTCTTTATGCACCCTATGGAGGTCCAGGATTCATTTTGGGGTCTTCCACTGATGTCCCCATTGAGGTCCAACACCCATACTGGGACATACTGGGGTTCAGAATCCATTTGGGGACCTTCCCATGATGTCCCCATTGGGATCCAGCACCCACATGGGGAGATACTGGGGTTCAGAACCCATTCTGGGACATCCGTATGATGTCCCCTTTGGGGTCAGGACCTGTTTGGAGTCATCCTCTCTATGCACCCTATGGAGGTGCAGGATTCATTTTAGGGTCTTCCATTGACATCCCCATTGAGGTCCAGCACCCATACTGGCACATACTGGGGTTCAGAACCCATTTTGGGACATCCCTATGATGTCCCCATTGGGATCCAGGACCTGTTTGGAGTCATCCTCTTTATGCACCCTATGGAGGTCCAGGATTCATTTTGGGGTCTTCCACTAATGTCCCCTTTGAGGTCCAGCACCCATACTGGGACATACTGGGGTTCAGAATCCATTTGGGGACCTTCCTATGATGTCCCCATTGGGATCCAGCACCCACATGGGGACATACTGGGGTTCAGAACCCATTCTGGGACATCCCTATGGTGTCCCCTGTGGGGTCAGGGCCTGTTTGGAGTCATCATCCCTATGCCCCCTATGGAGGTCCAGGATTCATTTTGGGGTCTTCATTTGATGTCCTCATTGAAGTCCTGCACCGACGTGTGCAATACTGGGGTTCAGAACCCATTTTGGGACATCGCTATGGTGTCCCCTTTGGGGTCAGGACCTGTTTGGAGTCATCCTCTCTATGCGCCCTATGGAGGTCCAAGATTCATTTTGGGGTCTTCCCTTGACGTCCCCATTGAGGTCCTGCACCTACATGTGCAATATTGGGGTTCAGAATCCATTTGGGGACCTTCCCATGGTGTCCTCATTGGGATCCAGCACCCACATGGGGAAATATTGGAGTCCAGAATCCACTTGGGGACATCGCTATGATGTCCCCATTGGGGTCAGGACCTGTTTGGAGTCATCCTCTCTATGCACCCTATGGAGGTCCAGGATTCATTTTGGGGTCTTCCTTTGATGTCCCATTGAGGTTCTGCACCTACGTGTGCAATATTGGGGTTCAGAACCCATTTGGGGACCTTCCCAGGGTGTCCCCATTGGGACCCAGCACCCACGTGGGGACATATTGGAGTCCAGAACCCATTTTGGGACATACTGGTGTTCAAAATCCATTTGGGGACATCCCTATGATGTCCCCATTGGGGACCTGTTTGGAGTCATCCTCTCTATGCGCCCTATGGAGGTCCAGGATTCATTTTAGGGTCTTCCCTTGACGTCCCCATTGAGGTCCAGCACCCATACTGGCACATACTGGGGTTCAGAACCCATTTTGGGACATCCCTATGATGTCCCCATTGGGATCCAGGACCTGTTTGGAGTCATCCTCTTTATGCCCCCTATGAAGGTCTTGGGGTCTTTCCTTGATGTCCCATTGAGGTCCTGCACCTTCGTGTGCAATATTGGGGTTCAGAACCCATTTGGGGACCTTCCCATGATGTTCCCATTGGGATCCAGCACCCACATGGGGACATATTGGAGTCCAGAACCCATTCGGGACATTCCAATGATGTCCCCATTGGGGTCAGGACCTGTTTGGAGTCATCCTCTCTATGCTCCCTATGAAGGTCCAGGATTCATTTTGGGGTCTTCTGTTGACGTCCCCATTGATTTCCTGCACCTACGTGTGCAATATTGGGATTCAGAACCCATTTGGGGACCTTCCTATGATGTCCCCATTGGGATCCAGCACCCACATGGGGACATACTGGGGTTCAGAACCCATTCTGGGACATCGCTATGATGATCCCATTGGGGTCAGGACCTGTTTGGAGTCATCATCCCTATGCCCCCTATGGAGGTCCAGGATTCATTTTAGGGTCTTCCCTTGACGTCCCCATTGAGGTCCAGCACCCATACTGGCACATACTGGTGTTCAAAATCCATTTTGGGACATCCCTATGGTGTCCCCTTTGTGATCCAGGACCTCTTTGGAGTCATCCTCTTTATGCCCCCTATGAAGGTCTTGGGGTCTTCCCTTGATGTCCCATTGAGGTCCTGCACCTACGTGTGCAATATTGGGGTTCAGAACCCATTTGGGGACCTTCCCATGATGTCCCCATTGGGATCCAGCACCCACATGGGGACATATTGGAGTCCAGAACCCATTCGGGACATTCCAATGATGTCCCCTTTGGGGTCAGGACCTGTTTGGAGTCATCCTCTCTATGCACCCTATGGAGGTCCAGGATTCATTTTGGGGTCTTCATTTGATGTCCCATTGAGGTCCTGCACCTACGTGTGCAATATTGGGTTCAGAACCCATTTGGGGACCTTCCCATGATGTTCCCATTGGGATCCAGCACCCACATGGGGACATATTGGAGTCCAGAACCCATTCGGGACATTCCAATGATGTCCCCATTGGGGTCAGGACCTGTTTGGAGTCATCCTCTCTATGCTCCCTATGAAGGTCCAGGATTCATTTTGGGGTCTTCTGTTGACGTCCCCATTGATTTCCTGCACCTACGTGTGCAATATTGGGGTTCAGAACCCATTTGGGGACCTTCCCATGATGTTCCCATTGGGATCCAGCACCCACATGGGGACATATTGGAGTCCATAACACATTTGGGGACATCGCTATGATGTCCCCATTGGGGTCAGGACCTGTTTGGAGTCATCCTCTCTATGCCCCCTATGGAGGTGCAGGATTCATTTTAGGATCTTCCATTGACGTCCCCATTGAGGTCCAGCACCCATACTGGCACATACTGGGGTTCAGAATCCATTTGGGGACCTTCCCATGATGTCCCCATTGGGATCCAGCACCCACATGGGGACATATTGGAGTCCAGAACCCATTCGGGACATTCCAATGATGTCCCCTTTGGGGTCAGGGCCTGTTCGGAGTCATCCTCTCTATGCACCCTATGGAGGTCCAGGATTCATTTTGGGGTCTTCATTTGATGTCCCATTGAGGTCCTGCACCTACGTGTGCAATATTGGGGTTCAGAATCCATTTGGAGACCTTCCCATGATGTCCCCATTGGGATCCAGCACCCACGTGGGGACATATTGGAGTCCAAGACCTGGGCCATCCCCTTTATGGCCTCTATTGGGGTCTGGAATTCATTTTTGGGTCTCCTCCTGATGTCCCCTCGGTGTCCCCAACCATGTCCCCACCATGTCCCCTGTGTCCCCTCCCAGTGCTCTGCCGTCTCTTCGCCCTGAGTCGCTTCATGCAGCCTCTGCTGAAGACGGTGATCGTGGAGGTCAAGGTGAGCGAGCCGGCGGCACGAGGAGGACGTGGTGACATGGGGACGTGGTGACACGGGGACGGTGCCACCCACCCCCTCCTTCCCAAATGTTTCCCCTCCCCACAGACACCCGATAACGTCATCATCAAGCAAGTCCCCGTGTCCTCCCCCATGAGGAACGGGATCTTCTCCATCAACCACAACCTGCCGGAGGTGGTCAGGTGGGTGTCACCTCCCAGACTGGGACACCCTGTCCCTGTCCCTGTCCCTGTCCCTCTCCCTCTCCCTGTCCCTCTCCCTGTCCCCTCACCCCATCCCCACTTTTTCCAGCCTGGGGACGTGGACAATCACGGCCAAATTTGAAGACTCGCAGGACCAGGTCTTCAGCACTCAATTTGAAGTCAAGGAATACGGTACGGTGGGGTGGGGGGGTCTCCACCCCAAACCCACTGATCCCTGGTGCCCCATCCCGGACCCACAAGTGTCTCCTCCGCAGTGCTGCCAAGCTTTGAGGTGACTCTGGATCCACAGGAGAAGTTTCTCTACATTGACCGGCAGGAGGATTTCCGGGTGTCCATCACAGCCAGGTGGGGTGGGAACCCCAAAACCACTTGTTTTGGGGTCAGACTGAGGGTAGGGGAGGGTCATGATGGGGAGGACGGTCCTATTCCACCTGGGTGTGATACAGCCAGGGAGGGGAGGGACTGGGGACATGGGGTGGTGGAGATTTGGGGGTGGTGGGGATGAGGGCAATGAGGACACGGGGTGATGGGGATGAGGGACGTCACCCTCAGGACTTGGGGTGATGGGGATTTGGGGTGGTGGGGATGAGGGCAATGGGGACACGGGGCGATGGGGACGAGGGTCGTCACAATCAGGACTTGGGGAGGTGGGGATTTGGGGTGGTGGGGATGAGGGCAATGAGGACACAGGGTGATGGGGACGAGGGTCGTCACCCTCAGGACTTGGGGTGGTGGGGATTTGGGGTGGTGGGGATGAGGGCAATGGGGACACGGGGCGATGGGGATGAGGGACGTCACAATCAGGACTTGGGGTGGTGGGAGATTTGGGGTGGTGGGGATGAGGGCGATGGGGACACAGGTTGATGGGGACTTGGGGTCATCATCCTCAGGACTTGGGGTGGGGGGGATTTGGGGTGGTGGGGATGAGGGCAATGGGACACAGGGCGATGGGGATGAGGGTCATCACCCTCAGGACTTGGGGTGGGGGGGATTTGGGGTGGTGGGGATTTGGGGTGGTGGGGATGAGGGCGATGGGGACACGGGAGGATGGGGATGAGGGTCGTCCCCCTCGGGATTTGGGGAGGTGGGGATTTGGGGTTTGTGGATGAGGGCAATGGGGACACGGGGCGATGGGGACTTGGGGTCGTCACCCTCAGGACTTGGGGTGGTGGGAATTTGGGGTGATGAGGACACGGGGTGGTGGGGATTTGGGATGATAGAGATGAGGGCGGGGGGTGGATGGAGTTTGGGGTGGTGAGGACATTGCGGTGGAGGAGGGTGAGAGTGGTGTGGATTTGGGGTGACGAGGACGCGGGGTGGTGGGGAGGCAGGGCAGCACGAGAGTGGGAACATTGGGTGACAGCGACACGGGATGCGACGGGGACGGCCGGTGCTGGAGATGTGGGGACAGGCAAAGGTGGGGACGTGGTGTGATTGTGATTGTGATGACCCTCGTCCCCACGGGGCGATGGGGATGAGGGACGTCACCCTCAGGACTTGGGGTGATGGGGATTTGGGGTGGTGGGGATGAGGGCAATGGGGACACGGGGGGATGGGGATGAGGGTTGTCATCCTCAGGACTTGGGGTGGTGTGGATTTGGGGTGACGAGGACGCGGGGTGGTGGGGAGGCAGGGCAGCACGAGAGTGGGAACATTGGGTGACAGCGACACGGGATGTGACAGGGACAGCCGGTGCTGGAGATGTGGGGACAGGCAAAGGTGGGGACGTGGTGTGACAGCCGTGATGTGTCCCCAGGTACCTGTATGGGAAGAACCTGCAGGGGACAGCCTTCGTCCTCTTTGGCGTGATGGTGGATGACGAGAGAAAGACCATCCCCCAATCCCTGCAGCGCGTCAAGGTGGCCCTGTCCCCTGTCCCCATCCCCTGTCCCTCTGTCCCCATACCCTTGGCTGTCCCCCTGTCCCTCTGACCCCGTGCTGCAGGTGACCGATGGGGACGGAGAGGCCGTGCTGCCCATGGCCATGCTGCGGCAGCGCTTTGCCAACCTCCAGGAGCTGGTGGGACACTCGCTCTACGTCACCGTCACCGTCCTCACCGAGTCAGGTGACAGAGGGACGCGGGGACAGAGGGACGTGTCCGGCTTCGTGTCCCGGTCCTCGATGCACTGGGATGGTTTAGGGATACGTACTGGGGACACAGAGGGTCCTGGGTAGGGGCCAAGTTGGGACGTGTGGATCTGGATGGGGGCAACAAGGACAGGGAGGTAAGGGGGGACAAGGACACGTGGGGCTGCGGACTGCAGAAATAAGGAAAGATGGGGACGAAGGTGGCACAGATGGGAGCAGCCAGAGCTACCTACAGTTGAGCAGGGGGACAATGGGGGACCAGGAGCCTCGTCCTGGCACTGGGTGACATCGCTGTCCCCGTGGCCACCGCAGGCAGCGACATGGTGGAGGCGCAGCGCAGCGGCATCCGCATCGTGACGTCCCCGTACACCATCCATTTCACCCACACCCCCAAGTACTTCAAACCAGGGATGCCCTTCGATCTGACGGTAATGGCACATGGGGACAGGGACAGGAATGGGGACAGGGACAGGAATGGGGACAGGGACGGGGCTGGGGGGCTTGGGGTGACAATCCAGGCCCCTCTGGCACCGGAGTCTTCTGAATGGGGATGGGGAAGGGGGAATCCCATGGGGTTTTCTGCCCCCACGTCACATCCCTGCGTCACCTGGATGGCACCTGGTGTCTGTCCTCACACCGCATCCTTGTGTCACCTCCCCTGTGCCGTGTCCCCAGGCTGAGCCATGTCCCCATGCCATTTTCCTGTGCCACGTCCCCACGCCGTGTGTCACAACCCCATTCCGAGCCTGTCGTGTCCCTGTGCCACGTCCCCATGGTTTGTCCCCGTGCCACGTCCTTGTGTCACATCCGCATTGAATGTCCCTGTGCCACGTCCTTGTGTCACATCCGCATTGAATGTCCCCATACCACGTCCTCATGCGGTGTCCCATGCCGTGCTCCATCCTCCACAGGTTTATGTCACCAACCCCGATAATTCCCCGGCTCCACGCATCCCCGTCAAGGCTGACGACTTCCAGGGCCTCGTCTCCACCCAGCGAGATGGCAAAGCCAAGCTGGTCCTCAACATGCCAGCCAACAAGAACTCTGTCCCCATCACTGTGAGTGGGGACGCGGACAGGGGACCTGGGTCTGGGATGGAGCAGGGCATCCAGGGTGAGCCGTGATGGCTGGAGTCGGGGATGGCGACAACAATCGAGGGGAGCAAACCCCAAACGACCAGCGCAGGGGGGAACCAGGGTGTCCAAAGTGGGCAGGGTGGCTGAGACAAGCAGGATGGCCAAGGGCAAGAGCAGCAGAGCTGGGGTGGCAGGACGACCAGGTCACCCGTGGTGGCCAAGACCTCCACTGTGGCTGAGAACCCCAGGTGGTCAAGTTATCTATGGTAGATGAGACCTTACTGACAACCAGGATGTCTGTGGTGGCCAAGTCACCCACGGTATCCAAGGCCTTCGTGGTGACCAAGTCGTTTATGGTAGTCAAGACCTTCAGAGAGGCAAAAAAATACATGATGACCAAGTCACCCATGATGGTCAAATTATCCATAGCAGCCAATGTCTCCGTAGTGACTGAGACTCTCATGGCAGCCGAGGTTTTCATGGCAGCCACAACCTCCGTAGTGACTGAGACCTCCATGGTGACAAAGTCACCTACGGTACCAAGGCCTTCGTGCTGGCCAAGTCATGAATGGCAGCCAAGACCTTCAAAGTGGCCAAGACCTCCATGGTGGCCAAATCATCCATGGCAACCAAGACCTCCATGGTGGCCAAATCATCCATGGAAATCAAGACCTCCATGGTGGCCAAATCATCCATGGAAATCAAGACCTCCATGGTGGCCAAATCATCCATGGCAACCAAGACCTCCATGGTGGCCAAATCATCCATGGCAACCAAGATCTCCATGGTGGCCAAATCACCCATGGCAACCAAGACCTCCATGATGGCCAAATCACCCATGGCAACCAAGACCTCCATGGTGGCCAAATCACCCATGGCAACTAAGACCTCCATGGTGGCCAACATCTATGGCAACCAAGACCTCCATGGTGGCCAAATCACCCATGGCAACCAAGACCTCCATGGTGGCCAAATCACCCATGGCAACCAAGACCTCCATGGTGGTCAAATCATCCATGGCAACCAAGACCTCCATGGTGGCCAAATCATCCATGGCAACCAAGACCTCCATGATGGCCAAATCACCCATGGCAACCAAGACCTCCATGGTGGTCAAATCATCCATGGCAACCAAGACCTCCATGGTGGCCGTCACCTATGGCAACCAAGACCTCCATGGTGGCCAAATCACCCATGGCAACCAAGACCTCCATGGTGGCCAAATCATCCATGGCAACCAAGACCTCCATGGTGGCCGTCACCTATGGCAACCAAGACCTCCATGGTGGCCAAATCACCCATGGCAACCAAGACCTCCATGGTGGCCAAATCAACCATGGCAACCAAGATCTCCATGGTGGCCAAATCATCCATGGCAACCAAGACCTCCATGATGGCCAAATCAACCATGGCAACCAAGACCTCCATGGTGGCCAACATCTATGGCAACCAAGACCTCCATGGTGGCCAAATCATCCATGGAGGTCTTGGATGGTCCAAATCACCCCCCTGGAGACCCCTGCCCGGGTTCGTACCTCTCCGCATTGACGCACTGTGCCTCCTTTGCTGCAGGTGAGGACAGCCCAGAAGGATCTGCCCCCGGAGCGCCAGGCCTCGCAGCAGATGGTGGCTGAGGCTTATCAAAGCCAGGGGAACTCCGGCAACTACCTGCACCTGGCGGTGGGCGCCAGCCAGGTGCAGCCCGGGGACAACCTCCCCATCAACTTCCATCTCAAGAGCAACAGAGAGGACGTCCGCAGATCCGTTTCCTACTTCACCTACCTGGTGAGCGCGCACGACTTCTGCCACCCCCGACCCCATCCCAGGGATCGGGGTGCCCAGACCACCCACCCACTCGGCCTTTCCTTACCCACCGCAGATCCTGAGCAAGGGGCACATCGTCCACGTGGGACGGCAGCCAAGGGAAGGTGACCAGAGCCTGGTCACTATGTCACTTCCCGTGACGGCCAACCTCATCCCTTCCTTCCGTATCGTGGCCTACTACCATGTGAAACCTGGCGAGATCGTGGCTGATTCTGTCTGGGTCGACGTCAAGGACACCTGCATGGGCAGTGTGAGCATGTCCCCGTCGTCTCTGTAGTTGGGGAAGGACCATTGGGGCATCGATTGGCCCTTGGGAGGGGTTCAGTTGGCTTTCAGAGCGAATCGTGTGGTGTTTCGGTGGCTCCTTTTGGGGCCTGGGGGTCCCTGGGGGACTGACGGTGTCCTTGGGCAGCTTGAGTGGCCCAACAGGGAGCTTGCAGGTCCTTGTGGACTTGGATATCCCTTGAGGAACTGGAGTAGCCCAGTGGAGACTTGAGTGGCCCAT